CAATGCTAACAAATCTTTTCAATCTTCTTCAACACTAGAACTGAACTACAAGGATTTTGGTAAATGACGGCTTCATAGACCATTAAGGCTACAGATACAAAGAGGTAGTGCAAATGACCATTTGCTAGTTTCTAATCCCATCTGTATGGCCCAATCACCCCATCACAGACACTTCAAAGAGACTATAATAGTCCCATTCTCACTACAGCTCATTTATCTGACACTGTTCCAATCTTCTTTTGAAAAGCTATGAACAGAAACACAAAGCTGGTTTAGACAATAATCATTAGGCTAATGGGAACAGTGTGCACGAAAAACGCACTGATGCAATCAGGGCAGAATGCCAGCCGTCATGTACCAGTAATCTGTACAGGGTCTTATTCATCATTGTCATGTACCTTTAAGTGATGGACTTGGACCTAAAGAAATGCCGGTTTGAGTGGGTGTATGTATGCTAACTTTGCATTCAATGCAATTTTGTGATTAGAAACATTCAAACAATGCACTGGTGAAGAAAGTAAAACTTTAATGTTTGTATCTACAATAGATTTTCTGAAGTTGTAAGTAAAAATCTTTTGAATTTCCTTCAGCTTCTGCTAGGGGGCTCTGTTGGACTCAAGTAACATTACTTCACAATCAGGAATGCAAACATTTTGGGTGAAACAGAATGTTCTCAATAGCAAATTCAGTCTCAGATTCATAATCAAATTTTGTTAGTGTACTTTATGATGAACATATAGCCTTACAAAAATATTCCTTTAGAAAAGTTCAAATCATTACTAATTATTATCCGACATATAAAACATCCAAAAGTTACTTCCTGAGCATTTCAATCCATTAACCTTATTTCCTTAGAAACGGAAATTTTCCTTTCATTAAAATGTTTGACCTTCCTGTATCTGTGCCCTTCTGTCAGAAACTTCTTCTTTGACCATGTGTCATCTTGTGAGAACTGACCCGGAGATTTCCCAAATTGACCCTGTACATCCTCAGTTGTCTCCTAACTGCACCAAGACACAGAGGTCCTATCTATTATTCAGCAATGTTTGCTACAACAGGATTGTAGCGCACCGTTCTGAAATTGAATTTCGTCTGTGTCTCTAGACAAATTGACTCCAATAAGTAGAGAACAGATCCACTTTCCCTTGCCTAAATTTCCGCAGCAAAAGATATTCAACCTTTTTTTTGGCCTTGAAGTTGCAACATTGACTCCACAATGGGGTAGGTATTTTATTGTATTGTATTGTATTTTACATTCTTATGATTCATAATGATCAACAAGCAATGGCATTAAACAGCAAAAAAAGAATAACATAAGGGGTAAAATAGTGAAGAATGTCTAGTATAAAAGTAAATGTGTGAAAATCACTACAGTAAAACACAGCAATATATCTGGACTACCCAAGTCAATTATTACAGAATGAGAGGTAATCAAACAATCAAAATAATAATTGATACCTTTCTATATCAATTCTTTCAATAGTATAAAGTTGAGTCAGTTCTACAAAAATGTGATTATTCTCTGCCAATGTTCAACCAGTTACTGTACAAGAATTCTGCAGTTAAGATGACAAACGAATCTTTAACTTCCACTGTCCTGGCCTGATCCCTCCAGACGGTCCAATCTGGCCTAACAACATCTCCACAGTCTTTGTGGGTTTTCTTTGTCCTTCAATTCTCCACGGGTCCAAGGGCAATCAGGCTAAGAGCAACTGGTTTAGCTGGAATTTCTGAAAGGACCAAACCTGATTGTGACTTGGAAATGTCTTTAACCCCATCCCTGCTGGCAATGCTGTGACCAGTGAATAGATGTTTATAGAAGAGTTCATAGCAGGGTAAAGGTTAATATTGTCTAAGGTTAATGTATTACTAGTATCAATTGTAAATGTATTGGTAGTATCAAATGTATGGCAAACATTTGAATGACACATACTTTTGTACATGCCTATGTGTTCATGAATGGTTTACCCTAGAGTAGTTCTTCTTTTATGGAAGTTTTGCACACAGAGGGAGTCATAAAAAGATGAATTTTGAAAGATGCTTTTGAGCCCCAAAGATTATGAAAGTTTGTGACAAATGTGTAAATTGAAATTTTCTTTTTTCAGGTATGAAAAAAAACTTGCCAGAATCGATAAGGTCTACCATTTACAGACACGTCTGCTATTGACATACTGTTCAACTCCCTGCAGATAATGAAATTATTGATGGAGATATTGGCCACTTAAGTTCCCCCCTGGTGTGCCTGGAAGGGTACAGTTCATCATGACACATACAATACAACAAATACTGTGTTTAAGGGGCACTTTTGGGGGAATATTGGGAAGACTGAAGAAGACATGATAACTCACTGGCAAAATCTTCCGACAAAGAGGTCTAGTGAAACAATAACCAAGATCAAAATATATCTATTTTTTTCATCGACATATGTAACTAGTAATAACTTTTGCAATAAAGCAAAAGAATGTTTTTTCCCTACAAAAAATGAGTTAGTTTAGAACATTTGCTTATCTATATGTTGAACCTTTATGTTGAACCCAATTGTTGCTTTACCTTTGATTATGATGTGTTCATACAATGTAGTTGTTGATAACGCAAGTACATTTCTTTAAACGTAATAAAGTACCATCATGTCGTAAGTCAATAAACTGCCATATTCTCTAATAAAACGACATAAATTTCTTGTAGCTGTTCAAAACATTGTAAAAAAAGATTGCAAAAATTGTATATAACTTCTTGACAACAGAAAAGTTCTTATGTACGTGTACTTTAGTTTAAGGAGGTACTGAAAAGGTAATGAAATATGACCAACCTTCGACGTCGACACAGCACAGGGTGATTCCCATTGTTTGTGCTGTGCTGTTGGCATGGTCTGTCTACAAGCCACCAAGTACAGACTACATAATCTAATCACATCAGCAGGAGTGAGCACTAATCATATGGCAGGGAGTCACAGGGGAGGGGCTTGTAGATGTGTTCTTAATGGGAAGGGAGGGGATGTGGCATGGTAAAGGGGTGGTTACAAAAGTTGCTACTCACTAATCAAGCAAAATCTATTTGTTTAAGAAAAAAAACATACTAAAATGCTGATTTATGACTATTAGGATATGATCACCAATACATCTTTAAAAGAGTTTTAAAATTTTGTCTGGTAAAACTTGTTTAGCAACGGAATGCTTATGAAGATTAATATTTTGAAACAAAATACACAAAGGGCATTTAGAAAGATGATTTCAGCAAATTCCCTTTGCACGTAACTGCTTACTGTTGTGATGGATTATCTTTACCTTTTCTTAAACTATGTCACAATTGAAAGTACGATTTTATAATACTGTTGCCATTAAAAAATCATGGAGAATTATGGTGTTAGGGGACAACTAGTAATAAAAATGGGTTGTTCAAAATTTCTTGAACAGATAACCTTTTTGAAATGATCAGAACTGAAAATACCAGGTCCATCCCCAAAACCACAGACACAGGCAAAGTAATGAGTAATGACATGGACTGCGACAGCAGGGCACAACTCATTAGTTTGGATTATACCCCCTAAATGATATTGTAACATTACTGAGGGTTGTGTGTGAACACAGGTCTCTGTGATGTTTACTTCTGTCAACTAGTACTTTAAAGACCGCGATTGAGTGAGAAATCTTATTTCATATACAGATTTATTACTGGGAACTTATTTTAGCTATGTCAAACTAGGTTGGCAACAATTTAAATTTGATAACTGATAATAGCTTTGCCATACTATAGTGAATACTTAACAAGATACAGTTTGTACCAAGCTTGCATAGTCAATCATTGCCTTCATACCTTTTATTAATTCTTACACTATATATTCTTTTCCTGTTTATTGTGACATTTTAATGAGCTTTAATAACATTAGCCTGAGGTTACATGGAAGTAACAGAGACCATAACACCCCCTTTGGGGATACAGCATGAACTTTAACCATTAACAAATTCTATATCAGGGATTGACATACCACTTGCATATGCAGGTTAGTGCAGGTAAAGTCAAAGCTGTGCAGGTATTTCTGATGTCTACCTGCACCTAACCTGTACCACTCCAACATAACATACATAACCAAAACAGATTTTGGGTTAGTTACTGTGCTTATAGTTATTTCACATGTTAATGTAAAACTCTTAATCATTATTGTATGGCTGTACTATACAGATAATACTCACTTTGTTGTTTCCATTTCTTCCAATCTCTTCGCTGTAATTAGGAAAAAAATGCATCCTTGGAAAATATAAAGAGACAGTCGTGTCATAAAAGTGGTACTAGAAAATAGTTAGGATGCCTCTAAAATATCTTAAATACAAACGATAACGCCGACAATATGATAAAAGTTTGCCCGTGACCGAAATCGACATGCAGTTTACACTAAAGTCGGTAGGTGGTACTATTGGACGGTTTACAGTCACATGTGTGAACACATCTGTCATGATTACCGATCACGATTAAGTGTGTATAACGTTCATAGTTACGACTTCTTAAAGAACTACACAAACCGAGGGTTTGAAGACACTATGTACGCGAGTTTACACAGCAAGATTATGACACAGACTGCGATCAGGAGAGAGGCACATGGTTTCAGAGCAGACGACCAAGACGTTTTCCTGGTGTTTTTCCATGAAACTAGCCACATCCAATACTCAAAACACAGCCCCAACTCTGTATATGTACCTAATATTGATATCTGTACAGAATTTCCATCGCTCACACTCACCTCTTCGCCTTCAGGGCCTTCTTCTAGTCTACTTCTCTTCAGTTTCTTCAAGTTTTCCGCCATCTTTGTTGATCTGCAACATGACCTTCGACCCTTTAACAAAACCAAGATTGGTTTCGCGAAATATTAGCATTAAAAAGGGGCACAAACTTTAAATTTTGAAGATTTGAAATTTGACAGACAAGTTATTTATAGATTTTTGTCATTTTGTGACTTTTATATGAAAAAAAAACACCTTCGTCAATAATTACCCATCAGCCCCTAAACCAGGCGCCATTTGCTTTGCGGGAAACGTGAGGATTGTGAAATATTTTTGGCGATTTTCAACCCAAAAAGAAGCAGAAATGCCGTCTGTGGAGCCAGACAAGTAACTTAATTACTTTTTACACACTTCATAGCTCATAGATATAAATCTTTCAGATCGATAGTGAGTATATACGCGCTAAATTTGCTCTTTGACGTAGCGCATTTTGCCTTGTGTTGCAAGCATGTCATTTTCACCCATCTGACTTATGATAAAGAAGTTTTACTGCAGCAAATGATTGACTGACACCATTTTATCATAAAAACTTATTGAAACTGTATCTATGTAATGTTTCAGAAAATGAAAATTATACATAGCTCAGTAGCAATTCTAGTAGATGTTTATGACTTTTAAATTATCATAATGGGTTACCATATGTTTATTAGGAGTTGCAGACAGTGCTGACCATGATTATGTAATCATATATAAGGCAACAAAACAAGCAAATTTTGCTTTCAACAGAAATCAGTTTTGTTACCTATTTACGAATTATGGTAAGAAACCATAAATTATGGTGTTGGCACGGACAAAAAGTATGATAAAAATTTTAATCTATGTCGGCTGGACTAGTAGCATGTGTATGAAAAAATATGAAAATGTACAACTTAATGTTTGTGTTTTTGTTGTTTTGTAGTAAACCTAGCTGGGCTGACCAGGTCGAAGACCTTGATGAAGATGTTGATGATGGTGAGTATATGAATTAATTAAAATAAATTTACATCTTACCTTTTTTTTATTATGACAGGAGCCTACACCATCATAATTACAGCATGAGCCTGCTTTCCCTTGGGAGAAGATTCTGCCAAAAATTTATATTGACCACAGTTGCTACTGACCAACCCAGGTTACATATGGCCACTGTCTCCAACTGTATGAGTTCCAGTTTTACAAGAATATTCCACATTGTAATTGATAATACAAATGTTATCTTTCTGTCCCTGTATTAGTCCCCACTACTTCTGGATCAAGCAAAGGTTTGTTTGATCACACGTTACATGTAGACTGTCCACTGGATCAGTTAGGACCAGTTTGTCTGTTTAGGCTGAAATATGAACTACATGTATCTGTGAATGTTGGTGTCTGGACTGATAAACAGCAAAGTGCATGTAATTGTTACCAACAAGGGTTAGACTGAAACTGTTCCCACCCTTTGGCATTTTCAGTCTTAAGAGTCTCCTTCCCTGTGGTGTTGTCAAAATTACATGATTGTTGTAGAGCTGTCCTTTCTCATGATCAAAATACATGACATATTATTGACTACATGTGTATATGTACAGCATCTTTCTGTCCTCTTTCTTCTATTATCAAATTTGTATGTTGTTAGGAAGTCCCTACAGTGTATAAGGTTTAAATGGTATAAACCCATAATTGGTTCTTGTTGATTGGATTGTTCTTCTGTGATCACCCAATGTAGTAGACGCCCTCCTCACCATATCTGATGAAGGTAAGGGAAACCTTCACACTTCACAGGTGCTGGCTGAATTCCCTGATTTTCTGTCCAATCTTACTTTTCATTACAACAGTTGAGGAAGACTGTACACTCCAGGAAAGGCTATGCTGAAACCATTCTCTCATGTCAGGATTGCTCCTTTAGTCCTTGTATATGTGAAGTTACCAGCAGCCAATCGTGTTGCTTCTTCACTGTGAGCAGGCAGCCAATCCCGTTGCTTCTTCACTGTGAGCAGTTATGTGATTGGCCTGAAATTATCCTTTCAACAATAAGAGTGGGAGTATCTGATTGGCTGTTGGCTGACCAATCCTATTGCAGTAAGAAGCATAGAGTTCAGGCTAGTACACCAGGGCCATTACTTGACAAATGCAAGTGTCTAGCATGAGAGGATGTGCGGAGACATCATACATACACTTCCTTGGTGTTGTGCGGATTTTGTACTTGAACCTGACCTTGTCATGATATCTTGTTCCTTAAAGAGCTTCCCCCACCCGAGGAAGTGATCGATGGAGACACAAAGATCATCACAGAGTACAGCATCAATGACGAAGGGAAGAAAGTCAAGGTCAGCTTTTGCATTAAAGAATGATTATTTTATACATTTTTTATACATTTGTATGCATATAGTTTTGATTGCCATACATGCTTCGCATATTTCACATGTAACATGTGTACGTAGTTAAAGTTCGAAACTTGTCGTTTGAAAGTTTGAACTTTGGTATTGATAGCTAGTATTTGTATGTTATCATTAACAGGACATCTATTCTATTCTGTTTGACAGATTATCAGAACATACAGGGTGGAGACCAGGAAAGCCTCCAAAACTATTGCAAGAAGAAAGGTGAGTTGTCCTGCTCCTGATTTCTCTATACATTAAAATATACCTTTAGTCTAAGGTACAGATTTCTCTATACATTAACATGTACCAGGTACCTCTAATGTTATGCTGTGTCTCCCCAACATTAGTGTTTTTCCCAGCCTTTATATTTTGGTTTCAGCTACCAGTACTCATCACATCTGTCTGAACCATTTTGAAATGTTGCCTTTCCCCAAACCCCCCAGGCTTGGCCCAAGTTTGGTGACTCGGAGTATGATGGTCCAGGTCCAAACCCCTCCACCACAGCCATCTGTGATGACATCTTCATGACATTTGTCACCAACAAAGAGGTCAGTCCTCCACGTTTTTCAATCATTTGCCTTTCTAGTTATACGCCCAAAAACAGTTACTCAGGCAACTGGATATGATTTTGGAAACAGTCAGATGTTTCAGGTAGCATCCACTACCTTTCGTCAGTGACACTGGAAAATTGTCAGAAAAGCAGGTTTATAGTGTTTAGGATAAGGTTATTTTTCTACTATGTCCACAGGAAGCACTGAACGACAAAGAAGAAGACCCCATGGCTAAGCTGAAGGGTACCAGGATTGTGCAGTGCCGTATCTGTAAGGGCGACCATTGGACCACCAAGTGTCCGTACAAGGACACCCTGGGACCTATCCAGGAGGAGCTGGAGAAGTCAGACAAGCCTGGAGAGGCAGCGGCAGGAGCCAAGGGTGGTACGTGCAGACGTCTTAGATGTGTCCTAATCTTGAACCTTCTGCATGTCTAAGATAGTAATCCTATACGTATTCTTGGATGCTATGTATTCCTTTCCTCCAAGCAGATGTTGGGGTAGAGGAGTCTCTACCAGGAGTGCTCTACCACAACTAGTTCTTAGGCAAATACAGCAGTGTTAAAGTGTTACAACTTTCTACCCAACATCTGCTTGGACATACATTTCTTGATCAGTAATGTTACACACTTGTAGTGTTCCTAGGACCATGTGTGTCCACAGTCTTGGAATATTCATGTCATACTGAGTCTTGCCCTTGGATCCTCTTCAAGCTAGTTGGTGTTCCTTTCTGTGTTCTCAACTCCACTTTTGTGATGTTCTTGTCATTTCTGTGTGTAACCTCTCTCTTCTGTCTTCCACTCTCACTCTACACTCTTAGAGAAAAGTAAGTCTTGGTTATTCTCTCTTTCACCATTACTTTCACCATTTTTGCGCTTCAAATCACTTCTGTGAACAGTTCACTTCATGAACTATTGTCAATTGAAAATCAGTGTGACTGCAATGTTTGTTTTTGTGAAAGTTGCTGTATGTTTGTGTTGTGTTGTCTGTAGGTGAACAGGCTGCTGCAGCCAGACCAGCGGGAGGGAAGTATGTTCCACCCAGTCTGAGGGGAGCCAACAGGGGCCCGGGAGAGTCCATGGCACAGAGGAGGGGTGAGCTCACTTCTTTTTCTTGAACGTAGGCCTTTTGGACATCTCAGAAGGCCTAAGACATGTACCTTAATTTTGAACCCTCTAAAGCAATATCATGTGAGATTTTTGTGAAGTTGCGTCAGATTGCTCAAACTAACCATTTTTATTTTAGGTTGAAAATGCGTTAAATGTTACACATGTGGGTATGCTGTAAGTGTCACTGTGACAGGTTTACAACAGAAGGAAGTGACACTGTCTTTTTTTTTTACAGACGACCAAGCGACGATTCGTGTCACAAACCTGTCTGAGGACACGCGAGAGTCGGACCTCCAGGAGCTGTTCCGACCCTTCGGCGCCATTTCTCGTATCTACCTGGCAAAGGACAAGGTCACGCACCAATCCAAGGTCAGATTTGTGCTCAACTTTACTTTAGAAAATAGCCAAGACTGGTCATATAATGATAGTTGCAAGTTGCAACTTTTTTCGTGTATATTAGTATGAACACTCTAGGTACAAAAATGCTTTAGAAATTACTTCTTTTTTTACCTATACCATTTACTGTAAGTATTTTATCACTTTTATCTGTTACCAGTATAAAGATAGTTCTGTATGAATGTTTTTATCATTTTTATTTATTTATTTTTTCAGGGCTTTGCATTCATCAACTTCCACCGTAGAGAAGATGCTGCCAGAGCGATCACTGGTGTCAACGGTTTTGGATACGACAACCTCATTCTGAATGTGGAGTGGGCAAGGTAAACTTAGTCATTTCCTCGTAACTCATTTAATTATACAAAACTGTCATTCTATCAATATGCCCTAAAATTGAACATTTGTGTAAGTAGAAGTGCACAGCACATTATTCTTGTACCAGTCTACTTTTGGTTGTCGTAGGTTTTCTTATTAACTTGCAGAGATTTCAACTTGTTCGGATTATTTTTCATTGTATCTTGTGTTGCTATGTTTACTGTATGTAAAGATATTGGTTTGTGGTATCATTGTTTTATGCTTGTGAGATAAGTTCCATTGATATGCAAATTCCTTTCGCTTTAACTTATTTAACTTATTTATGTTTTGGTTGGATTCTTTATGTTACCTTATGATTAATTGCACACTTGTATATAGTGATTATTTTCTTCTTATTTATTATTGTATTTTATCCTCAGTTACTTTGTTTGTATTTTACTATGTTGGGGTTTACCCCCCAGGTATCATTGAAAAACGCCGACAAGGCGATATGTATCACCTGGATAAATAAATGAAATGAAATGAAATGAAATCATAGACAATTTACTTTCTCACCATTGACTTTATTCTTCTTCCAGGCCTTCCAATCAACAGTAGAAGAAGGGAATTTAAAGAACTACAACAGATGAGAAAAGACCTGAATTTTTACTTCAACGCAACAGACAACAACACATATCTGTACACATAACATGACTCCATGCTTCAACTACAGTTATTTTAATTGTCACAAACAACTAAGTTAAAGTCTTAAGGACCCTGGATTTAGAACTGTAAAATTTGTAGTATCTATATACGTACAAATGGATTAAAAAAGCAAACGAGAGTACATGTGTAATGTACACTACATTTTCAGCGAGTTCAAAAAGAGCATACATGTTCATATAGGTCATACAATCAAGAGGAAGACTTCCCAATATATGTAGTTAGTGATCACAAAAAGACGGTCTGAGATCAAGTCGTAATTGTTTGATACAGAAATTTTTTTTGACTTTATGCCTTATCTTAACACCAAATGGATTAAAATGGCAGACTGTAGACATGCGTGATGATATACATGTATTATCTATGTATGTGTGTCTGGAACATTCAGTTTTGAACAATGCAACTGTTTCATGGTAATGCCACAGAATGCCACATTGAAGTCAGGAATGTCCCTATTCTGTTGATAAATCCCTTGAATAGTGGAAGCACCTTTGACAAAGGACAGCTGACATCACACAAAACAAACAATGTATCATGCAACACCTGGCTCTAACCCAGATACCTAGATTCGTATTTCCAACTGACGTCCTTGAAAATAGAATAGTGTCAAGTTTTATTTTACATAACATATCAGTATAGTCGGTATAACTTCCCTTCGGCATAACTCACTCATAACACACCAGCTAACAAGCAGCATCTTGTTCTGTGCGGGGATAGTAAGACATAACATTCACAGTTGTAAACATCCACGTGGCCCATTTAAACACATTACTTCCAGGCACTTGGAGCTGGTATAAGCTTTAGTTTGAGCCATTGTACAGTTAGGACTGAAATGTACCAACAAGCCTCACGTTTGTAGAAACGTGGTGAATATTTAAAGGGGCTCAAGCTGTGTCTTTATAACGTCTATGGCCGTTCCGTCCACTACTTTGATATGAAAAGCCATTATTAGAAGTCCCCACCCTCCCGTAGAAGGATTGCTAGACGCAGGACCATATCACCTATCATAAGCCATGTCTAGCAATGGTATTCAATCATTTAAGTGGAGATTTAATTTGGTCTTCATATCTAGGTTAATCCCGAGGGTCTTTCACCTTAAGGAAGTCACGAAGCTAGCTTACCGTGACGCCTATTGTCATGTAAAGTGATGAAGAATCGACCAAATCCACTGGTCAGTAGGTGTTTATTTTCGTAAAACATGACAGGCAGTCGGGCGTCTCTAGTAGGCCAGACGAACGTATCGGTTTGCTTTCAAAGCTAATTCTTCTTTGTTGTGATAACCGACGGCATTGTCATACTGGATTTATACTACGGGAGTAACACCTATGTTAGCAGTCAGTCCAGGCTCGTCAGTCGCACCCGGCAAACTTCTCCAAGAATACGTGTATCTTAAGGGAGCAGGTATCGTGTCTTAAGAAGCAGGTACGATGTGGAAAATGCGGTGGAGATGGCGCTGTCTTGTCTGCTTCTTGCAGATTCTCGGAAGTTTCTGTCTCGGAGCGTACGTCCATTTCTTGGGAACAACAAAACACCTGAGACAAGAAGCAGCGGAGGGTGAGGGTACGCCCAGCGCCGTGGACAGGGGCTTAAGCTCAACAGAACATCACCGTTTCAAGAACGTCGAAGGACAGGAACCACCGACTCAAAACAAGTTGCAAACATCGACTGCTGACTTCCAACAAATATCTCACCTTCAGAAGGAAAATGGTCCATCAGAAACAGGTATGTCTGGAAAGCAAGGGGCACGAAGCTTGGCCACAGACCCAGAGGAATCCAGAGAAAAACTAGCAATCAGAGTTTCCAATCCGTCTGACTTTGCAATTCAGAGGCTATCGAATGCATCGAATCATGAGGTAAAATTGTCATCAAGAAAGCAACTCGGTCTGAATGTAGCCCAGTTTGGACGACAGTTTACCACAGTAGATTCTGAATCACTCGATATACCGTTAGGTGGGAAATGGAGACCCCCTACTACAGATGTATCAAGTACATCGGAAAAGATCGCCATATTGGTCCCGTATAGAGACAGGGAAGAGCATCTCAGGACCTTCCTCTCGTACATACACCCGTTTCTTCAGCGCCAGGGAAGACATTACGGTATCTATGTCATAGAACAACACGGCGACGAGCCACTATTCTGCAAGGGCCTGCTCTTCAACATCGGTTTTAACACAGCACTGGAAGACGACGATTACGATTGCTTCATTTTCCACGACGTGGACCTTCTTCCTGAAGACGACAGAAACTTGTACACTTGTCAAAACTCTCCAAGCCATTTGTCTGTTGCCATCGACAAGTTCGACTACGCATTGCCCTATGTACAGTTATTCGGCGGAGTCACTGCTTTGAAAACCTCTCACTACAGACTTTTGAACGGATACTCCAACTTGTTTTGTGGATGGGGAGGGGAGGATGACGACATGTTTAAGCGACTATACAGACATAGGTTGGAAGTCTCGCGTCCTGAGAAAGACGTCGCCAGGTATAAGATGATGCGACACAGCCAGACACCTTTGAATCCTGCCCGGTATTCACTTCTCAAAACGTCGATCAAGAGGGCGAGTGAGGACGGGCTCAGCAGTCTAGAGACAATGGGGTATCAGATGACTTCCATGTCCAGACAGCGGTTGTTCAGCCATATCTTGGTAAACATTGCGGACAGGAATGCTCGTAGAATAGTGAGGCGTTTGCCTCGACACGTGAAACGAGTGAAAGAACGCTAGCTGACTGCCGGCATGTGTTTAGTGTCAACTCCATTTGTTTCCTTAATTACATTTCCGATAAAATATTACCAAGATATGAGATATAGGATCGTGGAATGAAATGTAGAAACGCACAGTCAAATTCATATCTGCATTTGAGCCGATTAATCTTCAAAAGCTAGTGTGGATAAGCTACGCCAACACCATAAAAATCAATGGTCCACATAGAGATTTGTTGCCATTTTGTTTGTTTAAAGTCAGTACGTTTGTAGTGTGCATGGCATATCTACTAATGTAAATGTGCACTCGATAAAATCAAAATAAAATGTTTGAACGACTTTTGCCTTGTTTATCCTCTGATTTTTTCACTGTACGAACTTGGCATGTTTGATGACGAAGGTATGGCATCGCCATGAGTTGATTAAGAAGCAAAGATACGACTGTTCTTACGAGTTTTAGATTGCTGGTTATCGGTTGTCGCATCGAAAGGATTCGTACGCAGCACAGCGTTTTATCAACTTGTGATTCTGTTGTTTTCCTGAACTATAAAAATATGGCTGTCAAATGTGTACGTAAATCATATATGTTTAACGTTACCTGACCATACTGGCGTACATGAAGACTACATGTTAACAGCGGGGTCAAGCCGTCATCCGTACAAAGAGATTCTATTTTTCAGGGAGTATGTACATTTACATTGGGAGTGTGGGGGCGTGGTTGCCATTCTGTGCCTGAAACTTGTAGTTCGTATTTATTTCTATATTTTCGTATGTATAGCTATTCCCCTAATGTCCCCTATGAGTTTAAAACAAACTGTGACCTTGCCAGCCAACTGAATTGTCAGGAAGTCCAAAACCAACACAAACAAAACAATCCGCTAGGGAGCCCACCAAAGATCACTGATGTTTGTTCACTCTTGCAACAACTACCCACACAACATCACAAGCACGGCAACTACTACTCTCCAAGCAGAGGTTTGCGTTCTAGCTTATTTGTGACACGTTTTTAGGCTTTTTTTATCGGGCTCTCGTTTTTGCCAACACATAAAAAAGATATACCAGTGAAAAAAAGCCCGATAAAAAAGCCTAAAAACACGCAAAAAATAACCCAAACCTCTGCTTGGAGAGTAGGCAACTACGTCAAAACCCTATCGACACACCCGCGGACTAGTCTCCACCAGACTCCATTACAGGCTGAATAAAAGTAGAAATCGACCTAAAAAGAATGTAGCTGGCCAGAGGAGTTGACCGGCTATAGAGGGTCCAGTTTGCAGTCAGGTGGGGACTGGATCCGGAGGTCAATAAAAAAAGACCTTACACAACGTTATATCATATATTTACTGTAATATTTGATGACAGTATCCTTCACGTGTTATCGTTTTATACATTTCTTGCACATGTTTCGTAAACATGCATGAAAATCCATAACAGGACGTGGCTTACCTTGCCAGGTTTAGGGGTGTGTACCGAGACCACATGCACGTTTCCGTGCAGCTGCGAGACCTAGCCACGTGAACAGCTTATCTGTCTGAGGGATCCACACAGGCTATTCTGGTGCGTAACGTTTTCTTTGTATATGTCCAACTGTTAATCCGTTCCCAAATCCTTTTTCAGAGGAGAGGGTCGTGTTTAAACTCGAAGGTGAAGGCTGTATACACGACTGTAGACGGTTAGACGGTGTAAGTATAGAGGCAGTCCGGGAAGTAAAGCCTATACTTTTGGTGTTGTTGGCCATTATCATAGTGATACTGTGGTATGTGTAAACGGAGGGTCTGTGTGTATAGGTAATAACAGCCTTTACGTAGGGAAACCACCGTGACGTGGCAAGAGATGATATGTTTTGCATATGCAGGGCTCGAAATGACCTCCTGCAATCTGTACAAAACGTACGACTGCAAGTAAAAGTATTAACATTTTGCAATATGTATACATGTACTTTATGAAGCAACTGATCGTAGACTGTAGTTTCATAACATATGCTTCCTTGGACAGCAACAGTTGCAGTATACGTAGGACCGATTTCACAAATTGCAGATAAAAATTTTTTGACATGTAGAATTACTGCAGGTAACCAACAAAAAGGGTTTCGAGCCCTGGTATGTACGTCCTTGAATTGGTCCACCGTCCATTGACCTTCTTTAACCACTTGGAGTGGTTTAAAAAAACAACGATTTTGACGTATGTCAATCAACTTTGCCAGGTGTGCCGGGATTTGTAGCTTTATAAAGATGAACTGACCCACGCTGGCTAAATGATAGGAGTTGTACACAGCAAGAGGAAAATATAGCTTAGATTATTCACCTGAACTCATTACATCATAAGCCACCATTAATTCCCTCATTTTCTTTCTTTATTGTGATGTCTTAATGACTCTATCCAATACTCAGATTATCTTTAGGCAATGGCACTCAGTACGGACTTCGCAGGAAAACTTCAGTTTATATATAGTACGAAATAAATATTTATTATCATATATATATCATATAAATATAGTTTTATGGCAATGTATATTTGGCATTTTCATCATCTTCATGCAACTTCCCTCTTCCTATAGATCAATGCCACCGATTGGACCTGTGTGAATTTTGAGCAGAGTGAAGTTGGTTGGCTCCACAGCGCCTGTGCCGGTAGATCTACACATGACGTAACCGGCGTACTGTCTTCGAGGTGAAGGTCAAAATGGTCCGATTCTCGCGTTTCCGGAGACGCAGGTGGAAGATCCTGCTGTTCTCTGTGCTGTTCGTCATGTTTCTTAGGCGTCTATTTTTTCATCAAGGAACTACTAAGGAGAAGAAGCCGAGCAAGTTTCACGAACTGGAGAGCGGGCTTCAACTTCAACCTCCGATTGTGCGTGAAGATGTATACGATGAAATCACTGAGAAAAATCTTATAGCGAGTGTGACTATCATGAGAACGGAAAAGGGAACACCCAGGCACATACAACACAACAACACTCTACACAGGACCAAAGCGTAAGGAGAAGAAGCGGAGGAAGTTTCACAAACTGCAGAGTAGACTTCAACTTCAACCTCCGATTGTGCGTGAAGATGTATACGACAAAATCACTGAGAAAAAGTTTATAGAGAATGTTACTATCATGACAACGGAAAACGGATACCCAGACAACATACAACACAACAACACTCTACACAGCCAAAGCGTAAGGAGAAGAAGCGGAGGAAGTTTCACAAACTGCAGAGTAGACTTCAACTTCAACCTCCGATTGTGCGTGAAGATGTATACGACAAAATCACTGAGAAAAAGTTTATAGAGAATGTTACTATCATGACAACGGAAAAGCGGATACCCAGACAAATACAACACAACAACACTGTACACAGGCCACCACATGTACAGACTACGAAAAATTCATCAATAGATATTGTGCTTGGAAACCAAAGTCAAGTTCAGACGGCTTCAGACACCCAGACGGTTCAGACACCCAGACACATTCACATACAACACAACAACACTCCACACAGGCCGCTACATGTACAGATTATGAAAAATTCGTCAGTAGATATTGTGCGTGGAAACCAAAGTCAAGTTCAGATCGCTTCCTCTAACAGAACGTCTTTTAAAGAATCCGTGAAAACATTTTTGGTTAACAAAAATGCTTCTTCAAATTCGTCTAACGCTACTTGGAAGAACATCACTTCAGTTATTACGCACTCAAACCAGTCAAAAGATTTTGACGACCTATCTGGTACAGATTTGCCACCATATAACGATTCTACTGAACAACAGTCCAGTAATACAACCTCATCTCTATTCGACGCCTCGTGGATGGATAAACTGAATGACGTACAGGATGGAAAATGGCGGCCGCCTAACAGTCTACCTATTCCATCGGAGAAGGTCGCCATATTGGTACCCTACAGATACAGGAAAGAACACCTGAAGATGTTCCTTCTCATCATGCACCCCTTTCTTCAGCGTCAAGGTGTGGAGTACGGTATTTACGTCATAGAACAACACGGAGACGAACCCATGTTCTGTAAGGGACTCCTCTACAACATCGGATACATGTTAGCCTTAAAAGACGAAGGATACGACTGTTTCATTTTCCACGACGTAGACCTTATTCCCGAAAGGGACGAGAACGTGTATTCGTGTAAAGGTTCTCCCAGGCATTTATCCGTCGCTATTGACGTCTACAACTACACGTTGCCCTATGAACATTTCCTGGGCGGAGTCGTGGCTTTGTCGGCAGCGCAGTACGATAGGCTGAACGGATATTCTAACCTGTTCTGTGGATGGGGAGGGGAGGATGACGACTTGTTCATGCGGCTGTACAGTCACAGATTGACGCTGTCGCGTCCAGAGGAAGACATCGGCAGGTATAGGATGATGAGACACGAGAAGACACCTGAGAACCCCGAGAGACTTGCCCTTCTCAAGCTGTGGGACTTAAGGGCGGCTAGAGACGGTCTGAACAGTCTTGAACAACAAAGAAAACGCTTTAAGATTACCTCAGTCACTCGTGAATGGTTATACACACGTATCTTAGTCGACGTCGACATACGGGGGAAATCATGAAGAGATAGAAAACAACATTTGACATCATACCTTTTGTTAAGAGTTCAAGGTCATACCCACAGGCCACTAATTATATATAATTCGAATCCTGTTTACCTGTTTTGTTGTAAATGTGCAAGTTACTGATATGTTTTGAATAGGACAGCATCGTTGAATCAAATTTAGAACCAAAGTTGCGCTTTAGCGGAATTTAACATATTGCTAATTCAGTTCACCAAACAACATGTTATCTTATCTATGACATACTAGTACTTTTGATTACAAGCTCCTAAGTTTATGTTGATTTTAATGGATTCAATTAATCATTGCATTTTTTTCTAACCGGAAAGACTTGGGGTTAGTTCTAAACTTTTTAAAGATTAATGATAATGATCATTAAACGGCATAATTAATATTATGCCGTTTGTATTTAATTCTTCGACATAGTCAGTAGACTTCATCTGTTATCTTATAGATCTCTGGGACAAGTTCCGTAAACAGTGATACACAAAGAATAACAGGATGTGCCTTAGTTTATTAGTTCATTCCTTCATTCGACAGCACGCGCCGCTGTGTCATACCTGGTATCTCTCTGTTCATCTTGGAAAAACATCATCTCACTGACGAGATCCGTACATATTCACAGGTAAGTCACACTGGCGCTATACATGTTGTGTTTGGAGAACTTAGGATCAAGTCAAAACTTCCGAATGGTGGCTAGGACCTGCGAGTTTATTAGCTAAGACTGGAGCAGAATTCTCGACATGAGAACTGAGAAAGTTCGTTTGCTAAAACTGACATTGATCAACTATTGGCACGTTTAGTTTCACGTTTAGGATTTATAAGTCATCTCGTCACTTTTCGTGATTACATAATTATATATCCTAGCATATATCCTAGACTACTAGGCCAAATTATTGTACACAGTCGGACTGCGACTTACTCTTGAACCGTACGTTACACGTGCCTTAAAAATCTAAAATGCACCTCCAGCAATAGGCTTTAAAAACAATCAGTTAGAGGATTTCAGTGGAAATATATCACCACATCTGAGGACATATAAATGTACCGCACAAGTAAATACCCGACCCCTGGCATATTTTGGAAATATCGATGTCATCGCATGACATGACATCATAACAGGATATGTAAACAGGTATGGGTGCCTGGCACGCGCGCTTATGCTGGTCTATCATAATCTTAATTGTAGTCGTTTTCAGAGACATTCATCTATGCATCTTCCTTTCTTCGTGATCATCTACGAGTACAAAGAACGAGTCTGAAATCTTTCAAGTTTAGTAAAGTACAGAATTATACACATTACACGTACAGTACTTCCGTGAGTAGCAAGAAGGAATTACTTTTTTCATCGATATCATCCTCTTTGATTTCATTCATAATCATCCACTTTTTTCTCACCACAGCAGAATTTTACTGGATGTAAAGAGCGAACGGTACACATTTCGGTCGAGAACAGCAAACATCACTGTACAGCAAATATTGCGGACAGCAGTGGTCCTCAAGGTCAAGCTAAGATGGTCCGGCTGACGCGCTGTTTCTCCAGACGCAGGTGGAACGTCGTCTTACTGCTCGCGCTGTCCGCCATCTTGATTCTCCGTCTCCTTCATCAGAGAAGTGAGAAACGTCTACTGAAGAGTCAAGGCCTGAAGGGGCCAGACTTTCCAGATCAAAACAATACTTCGTGGGCAGAGAGAAAGATTGATTCATTCAAAACAATCATGTCGGCGTTTCAGGATGACCAATCTAGCGAGGAAGAGGATGACATTCTGGAAACAACCCCGCCATCAAATGAAACCAATGAAGAAGAAGAAGAGTCCGACTTTTTCGGAGATGAGTGGATGGGTATGCTTGACAACGTGCTGGTGGGAGGGAGATGGGCTCCCGACGCAAAAGCGGGAGGCAGTTCGGAGAAAATCGCCATCGTGGTCCCGTACAGAAGCAGAAGGGATCACCTGAAGATGTTTCTCTTCTACATGCACCCCTTTCTGCAGCGGCAAGGTAGACACTACGGCATCTACGTCGTGGGCCAGCGCGGCGTGGAGCACAGGTTCTGTAAGGGCATCCTCTACAATATGGGTTTCATATCGGTGTTGAAAGATGACAGCTATGATTGTATCATTTTCCACGACGTCGACCTCATACCTGAAGACTACAGGAATGAGTACACTTGCGGGGACACCCCCAGGCATCTGTCCGTGGCCGTGGACACCTTCAACTACACGCTGCCGCACGAGAAAATCTTCGGCGGAGTCGTGGCCATGACGCCGGCCCAGTACCGACTGCTGAACGGTTACTCCAACCGGTTCTGCGGCTGGGGAGGGGAGGATGACGACATGTACAATCGGCTGGTCAAGCACAAGCTCCAGGTCTCGCGCCCCGAGAAAGACGTGGGGAGGTACACGATGTTTGAACACCGGGGCACGCCTGAGAACAAGAACCGGTTCTCTCTCCTCGAGACCTCCGACTTGAGGGCCAACAAGGACGGTCTGAACAGTGTGGGGAAAACCAGGGCTAAGATAACCTCCATGTCTCGTCAACCGTTGTTCACTCACATCGTAGTTAGCGTGGCGAAGCAAAGGCGTTGGAAACACTAGGCTTTTTCTATAACATTATAAACACAATATACTTTTCAGATTCTCTAATTTAGATAGTCATCCAGGAGCTTTTAATTTCGTCACTTTTCAGACCAAAACCATGTAAAGCAAATTCCACAATTGTCATATGATATTTATACACTAACGTGTGCGCAACACGTGTACATCAATACTATCATAAAACAACTAAGCAGGCTAGCTAGCTATAGGCATTATTATATACATGTATGGCCGATTATTGCCGATGAAAATAAAGTCTGTTCGTTCAGACCCCGTCTGCTCAGTTTTCGTTCTTCCCTCTCTCTTAGAATTTTCCTCCTTAAGTCCACTTATTTTCTCCCCTGCCCCACCTCTAAGCACTTGCACCTGCCCTATGTCAGATCCACTCGTACTTTCAAACGCGTCAGTTTCTGAACGCCATTTGTACCATTAACAAACCGAGCGTTCGACTCTCAAGCACCCTTAAGACTCCTGACACTGTTGTAATGAACGCACCGCTGCTTCGGTCTAGATTGAAAACACGTCTCTACCCATTTCTCTATACGTACCTCTACCGTAGTCAGTTTCCATTCACCCAATTAATTACTAGTACATCTTTCGACTATTTCAACGCATCGAGCTATCTGCTAGTGGTTTGATGTTATTGCCCTATTTTAATTCGGGAAACAATCATGTGTTTACGTTGTGAGTGGTGGATGTAGGGCTTATTGTGATTCCTTAGCCTAACGCTTGTATGACATAGCGATGCCATTTGATATGGGCGGGTCAAGCCTTTGTTTACCTTAACGTTACCCTTATACCTTACCCGATTTGGTGCACGGTTTGCCGCAGGCTTGTCGATTGTATGCGCGGTTGTGACAACATAGGTGTGTCGAGAAAAGGGGAAAGTGCAACTGCGCTACTGAGTCGAAACCTCGTGATTTTGGCTTAGGATACAGTAAAATATAGTTCTATACTTCTTGACCTGGTAAAATAAATCCGGTGAACGAAGAAGACCACCGTTTGGTTCCGCTAGGCGGCCCGTGAAAGAGTAAACACGCCGGGACAAGACCTTTTGTACGTGAGACACGGCGCGCCCATGTGAAGATGCCCTGGCTACCACGTCTCACAAGACGGAGGTGGAAAACTCTTGTGCTCCTCCTAGTTTCCGTCGTTCTCCTGCTAGAAATTTTGACGTCGCGACTGAAACTCAGAGATGATGACGGCAGCTGCCCGACAGAACCGCCGGATTTAAGAGGACCCATTGAGGTAAATATGCGGGATGTACCTGTACTGACCGACGTATCGATGGATCATTCAGACGTTAGGGTTGGAGGGCACTGGCGTCCTCCTAACTGCACGGCTAGACACAAAGTCGCTGTCCTAATACCGTATCGCGACCGCCGTGAACATCTGCACATCTTCCTAAACCACATTCACCCCATCCTGAAAAGACAACTGTTGGATTACGGCGTCTACGTCATCGAACAATATGGCGACGAGCCCATGTTTTGCAAGGGTCTGCTCTACAACGTCGGCTTCTCGGAGGTTCTCAAAAATCACAGCTACGATTGTTTCGTTTTCCACGACGTGGACTTGCTCTTGGAGGATGACCGCAACGCGTATTCCTGCTCTGCATCTCCAAGACACCTGTCCGTCGCGATAGATAAATTCAACTACACGCTGCCTTACAAACAGTTGTTTGGTGGGGTCACTGCCCTATCGGCCTCTCACTACCAGACTCTGAACGGATATTCCAACTTGTTCTGTGGATGGGGAGGGGAAGACGACGACATGTACAAGCGACTCGTCAAGAAAGCCTTGAAGATTTCGCGCCCGGAAAAGAAAGTGGCCAGGTATAAAATGATGCGCCACGAACAAACGAAACTGAACCCGAGCAGATTTTCCCTCCTGAAGACATCACAGAAAAGACTTCCACATGACGGGCTGAAGAATCTACACCTCATGAACTATGAGCTAGCGTCAGTACACCGGTATCACCTATATACACATATTGCTGTGACGGTTTTTCGTAGAAAATCACAGGGCACTGATAGTTTGGTTACAAACACCACCCTCTCGTAGCAACTATTGTAAGAAAGCTCCTTGTACGATTGAAAGGCGATAGCCAGTGTAGAGATTTATACCGTAACGTTTGTAGTACAATGTACTAGTATTCATGCAAGTCTTTAGAAATCATGTGTTGACATACGAGATACAAAATCACTTTATTGGTCGCAGTCGGTGCTACTGAATTGAAAACCAATTTGCAATCAAATTAGGAAATCCATTACAAGGGAGATTACAAACATGGGCCTATTATTGGATACAATAAAAGAAAAATACCTCGTGGGGTCTAATTTAATGACGACCTTTATGTACATTGTCAAGTAACTACAACTAAGTACTTCTAGTAATTTCTCAATGTGGTTGAAACGTAGGCGTGGGGAAAAAAGGGCCAAATTTTGGACAATGGAGTTCGACCGGGTATACTGGACAGGTTATCACTAGACTGCCAGAAGGTCATGTTATCTTTAGATACCACAACGATCTTATCAGTATCATGTGCTATAATCTATATGTTTATTGTGACAAACAACTTAGTTTGTGTTACATATACCCTTATTTCATGTCCTCTTCCGTTTCTGCACACCATGTACCAATAATTCCCGTTCCATATTTCCGTGGTGCCGTTGGTATCAGTGACCCACTTTGGCTGGAGCACGGTGTAGTGTATTGTTTAAACAAAAGTAAACCTACACAACGGACGTGGTTATACATTTGTGTGTCAGCAAGGTGTTTTACTTCATGGCAGACTGCGTGTGGAAACCGCTCGACTGCCGAGCGCAAACATTCCTGTCATCATAGCCCATTGCCAGGGGAGCGGCCATGTAGGACAATGGTTGATAATGTCGACTTGGATTTGTTGCACCTGTGACTATACATATGGTTAAATAATTACACCCGATAATGACAGGGCATGTTCTCTGTTTAACCTTCTTGTATCAACAGATGCCGTGCACATGGCTCGTTTTGACTCTGGCTTATATATCCAATCATGACCAAATCTTAGATGTGGTTTTGTTTCTGACGCTAGTGAATGGGTATTAATTTTGTATGAACCACACGACAAAGTTCAAGCAGCGTTGGCCAACGTTCATATATTATTCAAGATGTCTATTGAGGAATTAAAGATTAACTGTCAGAGGACAGTCTATCAAAAACACAAGATTAATAATTAACTACAAAGGTAACATTTGGGAAGCAAATGCATAACGTTTACCTTCAAATGGTCTAGCACAACAAATTACTGCTCTGCTTTTTTTTACGTTAACACATTCATAATGTATCTATAGTGATCAGTTTCTCCAACTGTCCTGCCACTTGCTACATAATCTAATCCAACACAACAGGGTATGGGCTACAGCACCGGTTTCCATTGTGGTTCAGGTCATTGACCTAATTTCTTTAGAAGGAAGAGGATGAGGAAATGGAACAGAAACTAGAAAGATATCATTTGCACAGCAAATGCATCCACACACACAGAAACACACTGACACCTTGGCAAGGTAATACAGATCATGTTATACAACGGTCATATACATTTTCTGTTAAATTGCTGCCTATATTATGACAGGAAATTTATAACTTCTACAAATGGGTATGGAAGCACTGGTCATATTTGCAACAAATAACTGGAAATTCAATATTTTCTACCTGTGGGTGTAAAATTGAAAGAAAGACCTGAACATTATTTTCTGTAGAGAACAGAATCTAAAATTGCATCTTAAACAGTAGTTCACATTGAAAAATATCTATTTTGTACTTGACAGTTGACATCCAACATGTAGCTGCTAAAAATCACTTTTTAAGATGTCATTTATACAGAGACTATGGATTATAATAATCCAAAACAAAGGGAAACTGATATGACAATAACTTCCAATTAGAGCAAACTATCATCAGGCATGTTGTTAGAAGAATAGTAGGAATATCAAAAATTATTGTACTCTCCCTTCAGTTATAATATTATCTTTTACAAAAAAATGCTAGAATCCAGGTATGACCCTTCCTTTCTTCTTGGCCTTTTTGATTTTGTTGGAAACTTTCTGTTCTTTCCGAGCCTTGAGGTTTTCTCTTCTCTTATCCTGCTTCTTCTTAATGTTGGCTTCAACCTGTGAAAAATGAATAAACATAATTGTCATAAACTATTAAAGTAGTAATCTTTGCATACATTCAACAGCATACCATGGTGACATGGTCTCTCAAAGCCCAACATACTAAAATGATAATTGCTATACTCGCGAATACAATTCTACGTACATTTAACCTTCATTTGTAATCCGTAATTCAGTAACAGCATTTTCTGCTGATCACTTTATTATGAGTATCAATCATAGCAGTGTGCAGCATTCAAGTAGCAATGATAAACACTTTTTGGCAAAGCATCAGGGGTGGAAACCTTCTTTCTTCTTCTAATTGTTTGTTACTAATACCCTTAATTGTTTACCCTGTAACCACAAGGTTCCAGAAAAGAATACTCTTCTTATGTTTCTCACCTGGTCCTTCCTCTCTTTCCACTGTTTCTTACTCTTCTTCTTTATCTGGTCTTTTCTTTTGATGCTCTTCTTCAGCAGCTCTGGATCGTCCTTCAGTTTGACTCCCTGAGCCTTCTGTAGGGCCGACTTCCACTTGGACTTTTGTTCAACCTCGTGTGCCTGAAGACATAAAAGAGTTTTTAAAAGACTCAGCCATTGTTTCAGAAAATCAAAATGAAAGATGCTTAGCCTAAAAACATAAACTATGAACAATGTTAATATGCTATAAAAATAGTAATATTGGGTCTTTTTATGCAGTGCCAAAATATGGTAAAACTTCTCACCTTTCCTAGATCTTCATGCTTGAGATCTTTTATCTTCTGTTTCTTGTCTTCAGCTTTTGCCAACAACTTCTTCAGGTGGTGCTTGGGAGATTCTTTGCTCTTCTTCTTACCACCTCCAACATCACTGGTGAAGTCAAACTTGCTGAAGACCAGCTTCCCTTCTTGATTCAACACAGGAGTGCCGTCAGGTTTCTTTGCAGCCGTCCCTTCTTCAAAGACCTTTCCTTTTGTCTGAGTCCCAGTTTTGTTCGCCATCTTTTTTCTCTGCTTCTGCTTCTCTTTCTTGGCTTGTCTCTTTGACCGCTGAGTTGCCAGGTCTTGTGGTTTTGGCGCCTTCCTTACGGATTTCATCTGCTGAATCTTTGCCTGGAGTCTCTGCCGTAACTCCTCTTTCTCAGACCTGTTCTGTTGTGCTTTGTTCTTCTTGGAGGGTGCTTTTACTTGTTCATCTGTAGGGGTTGATTGTGTTTACATTACTTAACAGTCCAATAAGTGATGAAGAAATGACATGCATTTTCAATGAATCAAAGCTTTTGACATTTTGGTATAAAATCAGCATACTCTAGCAATGTTTGTCGGTCCTACTGTACATCAATATACTATACTGCGATCGTTTACCAGATACCTTTGACCCAGTGTTGACATCACACTTTAGAGAAGTCATGTGACAAGTCTCACTGGGTCAGTCTATTGAAGAAGACCAGAGTGACTGGACGAAAGTTCTAGGTGAGAACAATCTCTTGTGTTGGATCAAAAGTTTTGACTTTTAATATACTATACACGAGCATAAGCTAAGCTAACCATCACTGTCTGGTTCCTCCTCCTTTGCCATGTCTTCCTGTAGCTCAGTGACAGTCTTGTACTGGTTTGGATCCAGCCTCATCTTCTTGTGCAGAGCTCTCTGAGCAGACTTAGTCAGAGGACCACCTGATAAAAAAGCCATATAATACATATAATTCAAAATTTACATATATTTCAATTTTATGCCATAGCTGCCATAATTTTGGTTGAACCTGCGAAAAATCTGACATATTGAATTTGTATGAAGTATATACTATATAGTCATTGCATTTGCGAGGATAATAAATTTGTCGGTCCTGTATTGCGGACAAATCTTACATCATAACGTTACATCATACAATTTATACTCATATATCATAGGACAAGCATCCTGACTATAAGTTGCAATAATTCATGTAGTTCTAATACACATATTTTTAAATATGTTAATTCACCAACTCATAATATATTTTTTTACAAATAATATTATGTAGATTCAACGAGAATGAAACTCACCTTTCTCCTTGTTTTGGCGTTTCCTTTTTAGCTCATTGTTTTCGAAGTAGATTTCCGGAGGGATTAAATCTGTCATCCGCTTAAAGTACAAGTTTGTCTGCTCGAGACGCTCCATCAAAGTGGCCATGTTTCCTGCTTTTTGGTATCCAACCTCAAATCTTGTTGTCCAAAGAGTGCTCGCCCCCCTCCCCCACTAGACACGCGTGCGCCTAGCTATTATTTAATAAAGAAGTTTCAAACAAAAGTCCGACTTCTTCAGCGTCCTTCGCGTTATTTTTCTCCCCAATCAATAACAAATAATCTTTTCCACTTTTCCGCAATGAATACAGTATTTTCAAACGCGGGAATTTACAAATTTTGGCGAAAATTAAACAGACGAAATTTTTTCGCACATGGGGGCAGCCATGACAGTTTGGAGCCTGCAGTTTGCGGTGCATTATGGGATACGGCAAGGTGAAAGGTCAGTCGGGAAGGTCGAAGGGTACGAATGGAAAAACACAACCTCATGAGATTTACAACTTGCTTGTAAACTGGTTATAAACACTGCTCACGACTGTCTCCAAGGTGGGCTTACATATGTATGTATACAGTTGTATACATGTATACATATGTATTTCAGTTCACTGGACTTTACTTTCTGAGTTGTGGGAATCTAATCAAGATCTATGGAAGGTAAGAAGCAGTTTGGCATTCTAGACTGCTTTCTGGTGTAACTGTGAAACGTTATATCCTTGAACCAAAATTTATGTGAAGTTCCGTTTTGTAAACAAGCGTTGCAATGCCATTACAATTAAACATGTATATGTTTTATTGATATTACGAAATCTGAATATTAGGATATGTCGTGTGGACAGAATAAACCCAGATATCGTCTCAGGGAATGATAATTGATACTAGTATGGTATTTTTTTTACCATTTTACAACTCACACAAGGTTAAGTAACGTTACAGCAGATGCAGTTTTGTGTTAGATATCCATAAATGGTTTTCATTGACGTCATGATAATTATATGAATATCATCGACTTGGTAGTAGGCGGATTAAAAAAAAAGTTAAACTGATTATATAAAGTAGCAGCATGTTGGCATGTTTAAGACCCTGTCTATACGGAACCACCCAAGGCGGTTTACATGTGGTTTACCCCGAAGCCGGTTTCAAGTGGCTCCGTCTGAACGGTCCAAAATCACATTGAAAGCGCCTTCGTCTGGAGCCACTTCTAGAGGTGGTTTCGAATCGGTTTCCCCGCATCGCGATTTGCGTCTGAACGCAATGTGATTTCAATGTGACTTCGCCTGGTCATGGATTACGGAGTGATATTTCTTTTTTATATGCAATACCAACTTTTACGTGGCAGCAACTTACAGAGCAGTAATGGTGAAATAATGTGTCCGTTCTAGGGCGAGCTTCACCGCCTCTGGCGGGACCACGTCGGCATTCGGCCGAGATAGGCTGGGAGGGGGGCATCGGCAATCATGTCGTTGAACATCTGACATTAATAACACGCCGCCTTGCGTGTTATCATCAAACAGCAATAAATGTAGCGCAAGAGCATTATGTTCGGACACGGTTTCACAGGTGTGTGTGGCACGTGGACCAGATGTGAGGAATGTGAGTTACCCGAATCGCGCCTTGGGTGGTTCCGTATAGACACGGCCTAACAGACTGTCACTGTAATTCAGCATGGCAGATGTGAAAAGCCTGAAAATGGAATTGAATGCCCCATGTTTCACTGTGCTGTGCTCTCTCCCTCCCAGATGGGTGGCAACCAGTCCATGAGAAAATCCAGGCAGGACCTGATCGTGAACCCGCAGGCAGCCCAGTTTGTACAGGACAAGGTCAAGGACAACTGTGTGACAGTGTTCTCCAAATCCTCGTGTCCCTACTGCAAAATCGCCCAGAGATGCCTGGATGACATTGGTGCAAAGTATGAGGTGGTGGAACTGAGCAGTAGGGAGGACATGTCAGATATACAGGATGTACTCATGGCCATGACTGGGGAAAGAACAGTGAGTATGCAACTTGTAGAACAATGTTGTATTTGAGCAGGGTCCAAAATACTGGGTGCATGTGCACTAGGGCTGCGGACCGGTACACTGTACCGGTCCAATACCGTACAAATCGTTTCGGTACAGGTCCAAAATACCGGATCATGACGTAACGAGTATATACCGAAATAGCTAGTTTACACCATGTATATGACTAAAGATAGGTAAATCCTACCACAAAGACGAAAAATTAGCACTGGAAAAGACGTAAACACCGTCGATTGATTTGAGATCCTCAGTCTCACGAGACATCGCGAGAGTGTGGCTAATCCAGGGTTGTGATTGGTCAACAAACTCAAATCAGGTCATAAATAAAGATACTGACAAGTTGTCAACACTTTATTATTGTTTCTTTGTCTTGATTGAAAAAGTGAAGAACACGTGTTAATTTGTCAAATTGTTCAGGTACAGGTACAGGTCCGGACCTGTACCTAAACCTCTGTACCGGTACCTGTACCTGTACCTGATGTTACGTTTAGGTACGCAGCCCTAATGTGCACCTTGGAGCACCCAAATTTGGAGCTGTGGACCCAGTTTTTTTTCTGTGGGTGTACCAGAATATTTTCATAGGTTTACGCATTTAAATACCCCAGTTCCCCTGTACTTGAAATACATGTATCGCAAACTTGGTAGAATGAAATATATGTAGATTGCACACAGTTTGCACATTCGTAATGATTGTGAAGAAAATACTGACATCTCTGATATGACTCCACAGGTCCCTCAAGTGTTCATCAACGGCAGCTGTATAGGAGGAGGAGCTACAACCAAGATGTTGCACCAAGAGGGCAGGCTGCGCAACCTGGTCCAAGAGTGTGGGGGACTTAGACAAGATGGAGAAAATTAGGATTACTGTTTTTAAAAAAATCTACTTTTTTGTAACATACTGTCTTGTTATAGTGATGACTATTCTCAAGGTTTCTTTTGATGCTCATTTGTCAGTACTCAGGAAAAACTATTCTTTTGCAGTCAGTTTTCAAGTATTTGATACCTTTGCTTTGCATCAATCATAGAACCAGTAGAATTCCCAATGAAATACAAGGAATGGGTTTCATCTCCAGTGAAATGTTATCTTTTCTAGCCTTATGTTGAAAAATATAGAAAGAAATGAATTTATTTGATGATGCTATATCAAGATTCTATTATTCTAGGTCTGTCTAGAAAACTAGCATTTGCCCTTGACAAACTCTACTAACTCACTCCCTACCCAAGTATGCTGGAAACAAACTAGTTACTACCGTATAAGCACATTAAGAACTAGCATGGTGTAATAGAAACCAATGTTTTGTATAGGCTATTGGGTTAGTACCTACAATGTATATTTATTAGCAGTTTGTTATGTATGACCAAAGCTTTGTTGCATTTTTCATACGCACTTGCCAAAAATGTATACCACATTTAGTTCCCATGATATTCATGGTGTTTATAAGTTTCTAAAATAAAAAGATACATGTACCATTGTATATGTACTAGTAAATGTGGTATCTGACTTATTGTATGCTTGATGGGTGATAGGGAAGAAAAAGAATGCCATTTGATGATACAATGAGTTGGCAACATTGCCAGAAATGCTACACTGACTAAATGTATTAGATTTAGTCCTAGATTAAAGAAATGTCCACACAATGACTGAGACAAACCCTTTGACCAAAATGCTGTAATGAGCCAAGTGAAAAAGCCATATAAGATTTCTCACAGAGAAGAAACAAAACTAAAGAAAATTGCTACAAACAAATGCCATTGAGAGACTTTGTCAAGGAACACTAATGGCAGTTAACTAACACATTTCCTCTTACACAAAAGCATTAAACACTTCTGAGTATATGCTATGTGATATATCTGTTGGCTAGTACATGTATGTTGGCTAGTACATGTTCCGATCCGTCCGGGAGAAGGTTGCGGTGCTCAGGGAGAAGCAGAAACTGAAAAACCACAACGCTTACGAGAGAGTGTACCTGAGATCTGCGAAATCCCACACCGACCGTCTCATAGAACTGAACTTCAGGACAATCCTGCGAGAGATTCCCGGCGGCAACGAGTACTTCATCACCGGAAGCGGGCGAGTAAAGAAACGGGAGACTCGTGATGCTAGCACCGACAACACTCCGTCATCTCAACCGTGAGAGCGCGTCGCCCAGCCGGTACGGGACCAGATTCGCCTTGCTCACTGGAACGTGAACGGATGGACTTCTCTGAACTGTAAGTTAAGAGAAACTGTGCTGCTACATTTATCTCCTGATATTATATCAGTGAACGAAACTCATCTGAAAGACAACGATGTAATTGAACTTGAGGGGTACGCCTGGTATGGTCACAACAGAATGGTCCACCACAGGGCCCCCAGGGGTTCTGGTGGTGTTGGTATATTTGTAAAGAATGACCTGTTTGACTCTTACAATATTGTTGTCTTAGACAAAGATGTTGATGGAATACTAGGCCTACAGTTTGAGCATCGTATTTCAGAATACAAGTTTGTTGTGTTTTCCTGTTACCTGCCCCCGGAGCAGTCTCCATGGGGACGAGATGCTAATGAATTCCTAGGCCACCTGTTGACTCAGATGTATGCTTTGGAGGATGTGGACAGTATTATCATATGTGGGGATCTGAATAGTCGAACAGGTGGACTAGACGACTGTATTGTAGAAGTGGACGGGATCCCGCCACGTGAAATTCTTGACACTACTGTTAACAATCATGGCGCCAGTTTAATTGAATTCTTGAAGGACTCAAAGATGTGTATGTTGAAACCGGGAGAATTTCTCCGACAAATAACCGTTTTACTTCTGTGTCGCCAAAAGGAAGGTCAGTTGTTGACTACATTATAGCGCCCCATGATTGTCTTGATAACTATTTTGAATTTGATGTATTGAGTCCAGCTCACCTGGCTGAGGCATGTGGTACTTCTTGTATGAGCCTGATAGGTGACCGTTGTAGACTTCCTGATCACTCCTTGTTATTTGTAGGATTTAATGTGAACATTCAAACTGAAGAGGCCTTACAATCTGTACCACAGGCTAGTGCTAAGGCTCGCTGTAAACGTAGAAAGGTGACAGAAAACTTTTTGCGCTCTGATATAAGCCGGAGAGCGTTGGTTAATCTCATAGACCGTATACAAAAAGTGAATAAGTCACAACAGGACATTGATATGTGTTATGACTCGCTTTGTGAGATTATTTACAATGATTTTGATGTAAATGTGAATTGTCATAATGTAAATATACCTCGGTCTAGAAAGTTGCATTGCCCTGGAAAGCCTTTTTGGAATCCAGAGTTAGATGGGTTATGGGTTCATATGAGGGATGCAGAACGCGAGTATACTAGATGTACAGGAAGCAGAAGGTGTAAAGAAGAGTTAAGGAATGTCTTTAAGAAAAGACAGTATGCCTTTGATAAGAAACTTCGCTTCTACAAACGGAAATTCCAACGAGGTCAAGTATTAGAGCTAGAGTGTTTAAAAACTGATAACCCCCAGCGATTCTGGAACGAAGTAAATAAGTTGGGTCCAAAAAGAAGCACTAAAATCCCTATGAAAGTGGTAAATGAATCTGGAGACTTGATACAAGATGTGAAGTCAGTTCTGGATAGATGGGAATCAGATTTCTCCAACTTATTTGCTGGTAATAACGCTGAAGGTGTATTTGATGATGACTTCTTCCAAGAGATCTGTGCTCTTAAACATCGGCTTGAAAATGAGATGAAGGATGTATCGTACTCTCCGAACCCATTCCTTAATGCCCAAATCACACTTAGTGAGGTCACAGCAGCTGTGGAAGCAGCCAAGACAGGAAAAGCAATGGGTATAGATGAAATTTCAAACGAAATGCTGAAAGCACCAGACATTCTGCATATTTTGCATACTCTTTTCCAAACCTGTTTTGAAAGTGGCATCATACCCTCTGCTTGGTACAAATCGATAATTAAGCCCATCCCCAAGTCATCTAAGAAAGACCCCAATGTTCCCTTAAACTACCGCGGGATTAGTTTAATGAGTACTGTATATAAACTTTACTCAAGTGTTCTTAACAACAGGTTAACCCAGTATCTAGAGTGCTCAAATCTACTCGAAGATGAGCAGAACGGTTTCCGTAAAGGTAGAGACTGCATTGATCACATTTACACAGTATGTACGGTGATTAGGGCCAGAATGGAAGAAGGAAAGTCAACTTTTGCTTGCTTTATTGACTTTCAAAAAGCATTTGACTGGGTAAACAGGGACCTTCTAGCCTACAGACTCATCCAAATGGGCGTTGATGGGAAATTTTTCGAAAATATATTATCTCTGTATAAATCCCCAATAGCCTGTGTAGAGGTGAATGACTACCGTACACACTGGTTCCCCACTCCTTTCGGAGTAAAGCAAGGGGACGTACTATCTCCTACATTGTTTGCTATGTATGTTAATGACCTTGCTCAAAATGTCAAAGATTCTGGTTTGGGAGTCAGGTTTGGTGAGAAGACTCTAAGTCTGCTGCTGTATGCAGACGACATTATTATATTGGCAGATAATGAAAGTGAACTGCAGGAACTGCTAAACATTGTAAATGACTGGTGTTCTAAGTGGCGGCTCATGATCAATCAAGGAAAAACACAAATAATGCATTTCAGGAAAAAAGGAGTAAGAAGGAGTTCCCATGAATTTAGATTTGGAAATTTGAAACTTGATTATGTGAGCCGGTACAAATATTTAGGTCTTTTCTTAGATGAACACCTGTCTTTTAATACAGCTACTACTGTTCTTGCAGAGGCTGCAGGGAGAGCTCTAGGTGGGGTTCTGGGTAAAGTCAAGGTTTTAAAAGACTTGGGTTACTACACATACACACAACTCTATGAAGCGTGTGTTTGTCCCATCCTTGACTATGCAGCTGGTGTCTGGGGATACAAAACAACTGAGAAGTGTTCAGTGGTGCAGAACAGAGCAATTAGGTGCTTTTTAGGGGTGCACAGATTTGCACCTGTTCTTGCTACAACAGGGGACATGGGCTGGGCGCCCTGTGAAATAAGACAGCAGGGGTCTGTAATCGCTTTATGGAATAGACTTATCAATATGTCAAATGATAGAATTACAAAACAAGTATTCTTATGGGACTTTCAAAACCATGGCCCCTGGAGTAGAAATGTCCAGGATATATTCTGTAAAGTTGAGCAAGAACATGTTTATCTTAACACATTGAGGGGTGACATTAGGCAAATTAAAGGGAAGCTTTTTGACTTATACAAGCAAGACTGGGCAACCAAAGTACTTTTGAAACCTAAACTTAGAACATATGCTCTGTTTAAAGATACTTACTGTATAGAAAAATATGTAACTATGTGTCTCCCCAAACGCCAAAGATCATTGTGTGCGCAGCTGCGAGCTGGTATTTTACCTATCAATATTGAAACTGGACGGTACCAGGGAATTCCTGAGGAAAGTAGAATGTGTACCATGTGTGACCTGGATGAAGTAGAAAACGAAACACATTTTCTTTTTTACTGTCCCTTTTATGACGATCTTCGAGAAAATATGTTTCGTAAAATTTATACAAAATCACCTGACATCATATGGGAAAGAGATGAAAATAGAATTAAGTGGCTCTTTAACGAGGGTGTATCTGACCTAGCAACTTTCATTTATCGAGCGTGGGGGAAAAGAAGAAAATACCTGTATTCATAACACATCAACAGTTCTCACCTTTTGTTACTTCTACACATTTGTTTTCTCTTATTTATATTTGATTTACCTTATGTACTTGTATTTATTTTGTGAAATCTTGGTTCTTTATCAAGTTTATGTACAGATTTGTTTATTTGCATTTATGATCTGTTATGAGTTCACTCTGTTCTGCTTAATTGTATATAGCCTAACTTTATTTGTGTTCACATTTTGTTTGGATTCTGTACCTCTGTTTCTCTGTTGTTTATGTATTATTTATTCTCAAACGGTGTCGTATAAGCCCACACGGGCTGGGCGTGGTATGCGCACGACACGAAAATAAAGTTTCATTCATTCATTCATTCATTCATTCATTCATTCATTGTATGACCCATTGGCAGTACTTTCAGTCAGATTGGTCATTGTTTTACCTGCATTTACCTCAAGAAAGTATTGACTTGCTGTTTATATACAAGCTGATTCAAGAATCATTTTTAAGTCTGTGTATTCTCACTTCTGTTTCTTGACAATACATGTTTTACCTAACCTCTCTAATTTGCAGCCAGGCCAACAAATCAATCAACGCTCCCTATAAAAATATTGAAGCAGGTAATTGGATAGTACCTTTTCTATTCTAGGTCCACCTTTCAATTTTTTTTTACATAATCGTTTGCCAAACACCAATACCCTATTCCAAAAATATCCATCCATATCGATTTACACTTGAGGCCGGTACAGGTTAGGTCTATCACACACGATTTTTTACAGGTATTGTATGTTTCAAACAAGGATATAGAAAGCAGCATTATACAAAAGCTGGCTTGAATTGTGTACATAAGCTTATGGAGTCAAAATAATACAAAGTATTCTAATTGCAAGATTCTAACTGGGTTGGTATCAGTGCCAACCACTGATTTCCATTACACATTTTTTTACAAGTCATACATCCATGATTTTAAGTCTCACTACTACAGTATTGAGACTCAATATCCAATATCTTCTAATGCATGCCTCCAGAAACATCCTTTGTTCAAAACAGAACCTATGGGAGTGAATATATTGTAACCTACAAGCAATTTACTTACAGCTTAATCAATATATCATAATGATCTTTTGGTAACTACATGTATGCTATCTTCTTAAATACAAAGTTTTGCCATCCAAACTATTCTATGGTCTTGTTTATCTGAGTGACAGAGTGTAGATTAATTGAATATTTGGGAAAACAGGAAGTAATCATTCTTTTTTGGCATGTGTTTTTGAAGATTTGTCATGTCCAGATGGTGATGTTTTAGAATCTCAGGTGTGGCTTGTGCTTCATCATGTATCTGTGGAAACAAAAGACAACAGAAGTTAAACATACGTAAGGTTCTATATTCACATTTCTACATTGGAGGCATACTTTAAGACTAGATACCTAGATATCTAGATGTATGTATCTTACATATGAACTCATAAAATCCTTTCTAAAAGCTGTTTATGCAGAACTAAAGATAATCAATTATTAGTTGATAGATGAGTCATTTACTTGCAAAAGATGTAACCTATAAAAGGAAGGATGCAATCTAAGGTTTTTATTAGGAACTGCAGGGGGTTTTTTGTTTGAGACTTTTAAAACCTTTTTCTCAAAAGGTTTCTCTCCAATTTTCTCTCCAAATTTTTTTTGAACATTTTTTTTGGGAAATAGACTTAGAACCAAAGTATAGATCTGTTAGCTTACTTGTCCAACACCTCCCAGAATCTGAGCAGACTGGCTCTGTCCTTGTGTCGCTTGTGTCGGCTGAGCTCCAGGACACACACGTCCCACTTCTGGATGTTCGGGTCCAGCTTCAGCTCATCAAACTTCAGGTGAAAGGCACGGACTGGGGGGTTTAAAAAATGGTGAGATCCCAAAGTCACACTACTTAACCTCTCAGATTTTCAGATTATCACTTTTGGAATAACTGAATGACTAGTATTTCTGCTGATCATCTATACCATTTAGTTGTTACTTTGTGAAAATCATTATGACCATTCTCAGAATCAATTCGAGTTAACAACAAACTGACTAGATACATAATTACACACAGAGAATTAAAGTATGTTTCTGGCCCTACTTCTGCAGAAGATGTCCACAGGTGAACCATCCGGCAGCAGCCATGGCCACCCCTTGAACTGCCAGGCAGGGCCCTGACAGAACACTGCCACAACACGCTCCCTGTAGACGAGAACAACATCAGTTTAGCACTGGCTATGATTCTACATGACTTTCAACAGTTGATAAATACTACTTTTTCTCATAAACATGTACAAGAACTGTCATACTGTCATACTACAGATGGGATGTTAACCTTATATGCGCAAATACAACCTTCTATGAGATGTTCTGCCGAAGTGCTATAGAACAGGAGTATGACCAGGACCGTACCATTCGTCGCCGGTGAGTTTGTTAGGGGTGTCGATGACTCTGTAGGGCACGGTGACGTTCTGTGTGACCCCGCCCGGCTGGACCACCTCCTTCCTCCGCTGCAGCAGTACCTCGTTCTCCTTCTTCATCCCCATCTGCTTCTTATTCTCCGTGCTCACGAATCTGAGGACACAAATTGGATTCTATGTTTCCACAAAAATGTTATTATTTCTTATTCTCCGTGCTGACTAATCTGAGGACACAAATTATATTCTATGTTTCCACAACAATGTTATGACCAATCTTAACTGTACCAAAATTGTTACCATCTTTCAAACTAAACTTCTTTCCACATTGCAATAGGAACTTTGAATTGATTATTTGTATACACATTAAAAACAATTCATGCTGAAATCTGTAACTTTGAATAGAACTTTGCTAGCCTGCATCTATAGTAATGTATAAAGAAAGCATTCTCGGTCAACAAGAAAATGTGACATGTATTACTTGAGGTCCTGTAGCACGTCCTTGGCGTTGTAGAGTGTGATGAGAGATGTGCTGGCAGCAGGGATGATGATGATGGGGGTACGGGAAACCCTCTTGGCAGGCTGCTGGGGTTTGGCTGCTGACACTGTTTTCATACGTCAACAACAAAATAACTGTGATTCCATACAAACACTGCATATTAGTAAACTTTAAAAGACATTTCACAAACTGTTTTTATGAATTATGAAAACTTTATTTTGTTAACTCCATGGAGCAGGATCTCCAACATAACGTTACCTGGTCTGGGGATACTCTGTGGCACAGGGACCTGGGACTTCCTGGCAGAGGCTCCTTCCTGTGGGACACAGAGTACAATGTACATGGATTTTATTCAGTTTTATTGAATCAGGTTTTGGCAACGTCATACTTATCAAAATAAACTACTCATAAGAAATATCACAGAGGAAACTGTAAGTTACCATTTAATATGGAGTACAGTTGCTCATTGGATGTGTCAGCCACCAGTAAGCTTGCAGCATACGTGGGAAAGGGGCCTGACATCTTGACAGCAAAATCAACCCAAGAAAAAGAAAGAAACTCACCGTCACAGACTTGAGAGTCATGCCGTGGTATGTACCCATGGTGTCAATCTTGAAACCCTCCGTTTCTGTGGGAAAAGAATGTGATCATCATTACACAGACATGCAAAGTACACAAATCATAACAATGGCAAAGGCTTGCACTTTGAATGGAAAGCAACCCACATGTGGATGGCTACTCATTCAGATTAGCTTGCTAAAAGTTTTGAAGTCTTTGTTGAAGACGACTTTTACCTTCCTTCCCCCTGAATCGCTCCTGATCGTAACGGTTGTAGGCTGCTGGAGCCTGCTGGGGTTTGCGGAAAGTCTCCTGTAAAATAGAATTAAAGATTTAAAAAAATTACGTCTGACACATGTTCTGAATTGAGACAATGTAACAATGCTACATCGATATTTTTTCCAGAATCTGCTCCCAAGGTTAAGAGAATACATGCATGAGGGCATAGTTCGTTGCTTTTGTTTTCGTTGCTTTTGTTTTCCATCAAGAATAACTCCAGGAAATGTCTCCACACCATTCTGCTGCTGCTGCTAGTGCTTGATGTTGGTTGGGCGCTGCTTGTCTCTGGAGCCCGGCCCTCCTCACGGGCCTTCACAGACTGAAGGATCGCAAAGATGTTCTTGGCAAATTGCTGCGAGGAGACGAAACAACACCGTTAGCAACAAAGCACACATGATCACCATTTTCAACTTATGAAAGACAGCAAATAGGACAGTTTAGATCACAGGGAATTTCAAACCTTTCCAGAACTCTGTAGGATGGTGGTTCTGTTTCTCCAGACTCGCTCTCTGCTGACAATGTCCCGAGTCACGTCAACCTCAGCCTCAACAAAACTACGGGGCTCAATCAGACCTAGGGATTGACAAAAGGATAAGGATTATCTTATCTTATGTTCTATACATTTGACTTTTAAACGAAAAAAAGTTCAAGCATTAGCACTCACAATCTAATGACCAGGTTCTAACCAGCACAATGTATATGCTTCACTATAAAGGGCATACTATAAAGTATATTGCACAGGACATTTACCCAGTTCCAAGTCATCATCTGTCTTGATAGTTGTCCTCTTCCTGGCAAGACGTTTGGCCTTGATGGCAGCAATCTTCTCCACAGACATGGCCTCTGACAAGGACCTGGACAAGTGGTCATGGGTTCAATTCCCACTATCACACACACTCACACTCACTCACTGTCCGGTTTATCGTCTGTTGTTCCCCGTCTTCCGAGGGTTAGACGTGCTTGCATAATTAGCTCTACGAAGTCATTCGATAAAAACTTACTTTTAAACCTATTCGGAAATAAATAAAAAGAAAGCCTCTGTCCCTGAGGCATTGCCATAAAATGTACCTGATCTGTTCCATGTTGACAGTTCCCTCCTTTGGTGTTTCCAGTCGAGCAGCCAATCGCTCCTGATTAACAGAAGAAAAATACCTTTAGAAGTTAGAACATCATGTCTCTTTGCTACATGTAGATCTAGATGTACTAATTCTTCTGTAGAAATTGCATAAAAAGAGGTAATGTTATATCTTTTTTACAGAGATGAGATACAATAGGAGGCCCAAAGCATACCTTGTCCTGCATGACTTTTGCCATCTCGACCTTTGGCTTCTTGAAATTGTCTTTGTCTGCATCTTCTGCTGTTCGTTTCACTGGGGGTTAAAACAGACCAATGTTATACATCATGGTTCTGAAATGGCACTGCAATTTTCTGCCGATAAAGGATGATTATCAAACAGATTTTTTAAAATCTGGTCATGATTTTAAAGTCATTTCTGTACCTTGTGTGGGTTTCTGTAGGGTGATTTCGAGAGGAGCACTTTTGTCAATGCTCAGAGATGTGGATGTTTCCCCATTCAGGTAGGCAAGCAAGTCCTGAAACGTAAAGGAAAATGGTATGTCACAAACAATATGAACAATATAAAATCATGAAAAAAATTCATGAGTACAAGAGTAAGTCTATATTTTCTGCCATTGTATACAAGTAAATATGATTTACTTGCCTTGACTTCTGCTACATGTACATTATGACATATACAAAGCCAAGTACTACATAATTTTATACAAATGGGCATCACAGTAAGATTTTACAATGGAAATCAGTAAAAAAAGATGTACCTTCCTGTCAGGTCTTGTGATGACAGGAATACTGTCAGCCTGTGGAGAAAGGAACAAGGAAAATTATGACTATTTAAACACATCTTTTGTCCTTTTGAACAATGCAAATATTTGTATGCACATTGCACAAATAACTTGTGGTAAAGACTAGATATGTGCATCCTGGTCATGTGTTGATGCCTGCAATACTAGTAAACACCTGTGGATTTCTACACATGTGTAAAGGATGAACTTATAGAAGTATAACATCCTACATGTGCAATATTAGACCACACTCATTATAACCATAGTGTTTTCTAAAGACGATGTTGAGTGAAAGTTGACCATACCGCAGCTCTCCGCACATAGATGGGATGAGCCAAGTGCACGTTCTTGAGCAGGAACAAGATGGATTCCAGGGTGTAGTACTCTTTAGGAGTGCCATCTTTGCCAGTTCTGTACAAACGAAAGGACAAGTTAGATGTAGCGTTATACAGCAACAAGTGTAATTTTTCAAGGATTCTTCTCACTCAGAATAATATATGTATCATATGCATGCTCATATGCAAACAAAATGTTACAAATTATTTAGTAGCTTTAATTTTTTGTCTTCCACTATGTTAAAATAATTTATACAAAAATGTTATAACACTGCATCTAACAACAATATGCACAGATACATGTTACCCATTCTGTAAGTTCTATAAGTAGGCAGCAAACGTCAGAATGGAACGTTATGTTAAAAGTCCATATCTAAAGATAAATATAAAATTTTGTCGACAACATGCACAACGTGGTGAAAAAAGGAGCCATGTCGTCACAAGGTTTACTGCCGCAAAATGCAACTATAAAAGGATAACAGTAACATAGAAGACACACAAATTTAGTAATAGACATCCTCTCTTCCTTTCCTAAATGATATTTGGACTTGTTATTGTTAAAATGTGATAAGAGATGTTAAAGCAGTTTCGTCGATATCTCTCTGAAGCGATCGGGACTTGAACCATGCAAAAATCACCAACAAAAAACGCGCGAAAAAACTCTTTGAAGTGGGGATGTGCAAAATCTACTTACCCCCAGATCAAGTAGTTGGTCTTAACATCCTTTCGCCAGGAAAAGTCACCGAAGATGACCTCGTCGTCGCGCTCTATGATCTCTTTTTTATTGATGTTGTACTGACGGACAATGCTCAGTGCGTCCGCCATGATGCCCTGTTTTCCTCTACTTCAACGCTGCCAACCGCAACAAACCAACTTCACATGTACGTTATAAATGAGTATAAAAAGACTAAAAAGCAATAAATAAAACTACTCTTGTGCCAACTTATTTTCGGCTTTCGAAAAACAAAACATACATGATGTATTACCTCCAAAATATCGGAAAGTTTGAGGTCCTGAGCTTTATGGTTTGATGCTGTGATTTTTAATTAGAGGGCTGGAAGAAGCTGGAAAATCACGAGAAATACAATAAATTGAATATTGCAAGATCAACATTCGTTTCTGACCATATCTCTTCGATGAAAGCTCCAAAATAAATTGAAAACTTGATGCAACATAGTTTCATTTTCGAAATTTTGACCTTGTAACCCTTGATGACGTCATGAATCCTAAACTTGAGGTTTCGTGTTGTTTTTTCTCCAGGTTGTCCCTAAAATACCTTCTTCTTTACGCTTTCTAAAGGTATGAGCAAAATATCAAGGGCGTCTGTTGCTTTTCGTTGATTTTGTCATAGTCGGGGCAACAACCATTTCAGATTTAGAAGCTTGAAAACCGATCTTTGACAGACTGGGAGTTGAAGTTCCTTTTACGCGTGTATATCGCGTCCGCTATCTGGACTCATTCTCGCCCCCCTCCCCCCATCAAAATACCAAAGCGGGTGGGTCGGCAGACGGAGTGGCAGACATACCCGATTGTCTAGCCCGGTTTAGCCGAGCCGTTGCCTTTCTCGTAGTGAACGCCGAGCTGTTTGACTTGACAGAAAACCTACATAATCGCTCAGAAACTAGGTACTCCATATAATTTCCAGCTTTTTTGACCCCGAACGTTGGAGGTCCGGACTGGGAAAAAAATTTCATTTGCATATTTTTCGTCTCTGTGGACTTTCAGTACAAAAATCGGAAGCCATGGCTGAGCAAAATGATGCATCTAACGATTCTGCAGCTAGTGGGGGTTGTAGTGTGACAGATTTACAGCGTGCACGCCGGTTCCTGTGCATGGGGACGGAGTCAGGGACCTACACCCTGGACGAAAAGATCAAGCTCGGGAGGGAGAACGCCGAGAGCCTGGTGAGGCTGATACATGACGGGAGGGGCGAGGAAGTGGTGGAAGAGATCAGCAAGTTTTCCAGGGAAGGAAAAGCGGTCAAAGAACAGCCGGTCATCTTTGCCCTCGCCTTGTGCGCAAGGGAGTCAGACGTGAAGACCAAACAGGCTGCATACAAGGCATTGTCCAAGGTATAAATTATAATTTTTTTCTAATAACTAGCATTACAGTGATATAATAAGGTATAACATGTTCAGCCAGAACATTTGGAACAACATTTTGGCACATGTCCAATGCCACACCCTGCAGCATATGGCCACATGGATGTCAAAGGCAATAAAAAGCCAAGTAATATTACTATCCAGAATAGTAGCCAATGGTCTGTGGCTTTGCATGGGTATTTATACACTCAGGTTAAGTTGTCATAAATGTAGTTTTACTAGTAATAAAAAATTATGTAATGTTTGTGTTGCATTTAGCCAGTAAAAATATCTAGTGTCACACTTTTTTTTCTTGGTTGTCAAACAAAGTTCCCCATTGCATTTCTAGGTAGTCAGCAGGATAAATGCTTCTTGTGGTCAAAGTGTGTTAAAATAAGACAGATGTAATCTCACTGGTCGCTAACATAATATTACGACAGTCAAGTATGTTCTCTTCCTCAGGTGTGTCAGACCCCCATTCAGCTGTTTGCCTTCATCAACTACGCGGAGACCCTGAGTGGCCAGTCTACGGGCTGGGGACGTGCTCAGCGCAGGGCCGTGCAGGCCTGGTACAACCAACAGGAGCCCAGACAACTGGCGTACCTCGTGACCAAGTACAAACATCGGGAGGGATGGACCCACAAGGACCTGCTCAGGTTATGTCATCTCAAGCCCACCAATCAAGGTAGACATGCCAACAACACCTTTACAGTACTAGAATACAAATGTCCTAGAAGACAATAGACCAATCCATAGTCTTGCCCACCTTGGGTGGTAGCAGTCCAAAAAAAACAAACATCATCATTGAGTACACAAATTTTACCAAAGTGCAGCTACTTTATTATTGGTTGAACTGCTAATATGAAAAATGGACAGACAGGATTAGTCCCATTGTACAAGGATTCTCAAACACTTGTAACAGACTGTGGTATCAACCATTCTTTCTAAAGAAATCCTACATACAGATCCTATCCCAAAGGAAGTTGGGACATTCCTATTTGAAAACATGAATACAAATTGTCTATTTCCCTTTCTGCATAAAGATATGCACCAGCTTGTTGCATCTGTCCTGGTGTTTCAAGCTGAAGACAGACCTGTATCAGTTACTAATTATAGACAAGGGATAAATCAAGTAAAAGTCAAGTGTAGCTGACATTTCTTATCATTTAATTGTAGCATATTCGGGTATTGCCCTTACAGAAACACATGTAACATTGTTCTCCGTAGTGGTGATACAGGTCCTGTTATTTAGTTATCAGGTTTCAAATATTCAAAGCTACTCAGTATTCTGGATGCTAGTGCAAGTGTAAGATAAATGATCTCTGTTGTTTTTGTAAGAATTCAGCAGCACTGCCTTCTCCCTATGGGGTAATTAACTCCTTTAAAGGACAGCTGGAACAAGTCAACTGAAGTAGGTCATGAGGTCAGGCTGTAGTACTGGCATGGCATATCTTTGGAACGTTCCATTTAGAACACTTGGAGGGTGACTGGATTCTTCTGAATTGTTTCTTTAGGCCACACCAATTTGATTTGTTGGTTCTCAGATTTTTTTCAGAAAAATATGAAGCAGCATCAGGCCTACAAAAACAGGCCTACGCATCATATAATAGCCCCAAATGCAAAAGTGTCAACATGCCAAGCTGGTTTGTAATTCAAACATAGAATTTCAGACTTTTAGTCAAACCAGTGCATTGAGAGATGGAAAAACTGTAACAATTCTAAAGAGAAGGGACTTCCTTCAACTATTAAAAAAAATGAAGTGGGAAATATGAGAACCAACAAACTAAATTGGTGTGGCCTTATATGATAAATTTCAAGAATGTTGATAGTTTTCATAATCATACCATAATGAAATTAAATTGCTTTCAAAGCTGATACCACTTGTGCAGGTATGAAAATGTTCTTACATTTCTACCAGGAGTTGCAGTTGTCATCCGGTACATTGTCAAAGGATTCGAGTCTGCGGAGAAAGAGTTTGACAAGGAAGACGCCCCGGATGATGTGAAGAACGTGCTGACGTTTCTACGAGCAGTGGAAGATGTGAAGAACATGAGGGACGAAAGCGCAGTGGCAGGACTGGTGGAACAGCACAGGCTGGCCAGGGAACACATTCCAACCCAGCTGCTCAAGTCTAAAGAGGTACTGTAACAGCTTGTAGGCAGAACGTATTGTACCTGCACGAAACCTGTAATGTAAATTACGAAAATTCAGCGATAAAACTACCTTAGTAGAAATTTATCATCTGTGAATATTTTGCTGTTTTCTTCCTTAGGAAGTTATCAACCTTTGCTTTTTTATCACATTAGGTTTGGCGCTCTCTGCTCCAGGACATGCCCATGACATCACTTCTCAGGTACCTTGGCAAGCTGTCCACCATTGGTCTGCTGGCTCCCCTCAATGACCAATCACAGTTAGTTTGTGAAAGGCTGACTGATGAGGAGCAGTTGAAAAAGGTGAGAGCTGATTGGCTTGTTTTGTTTTGTTGCAGAATTTTTGAAAACTCTTGTGCAAGAAGTTCTTTATATATATGCCACGACAGTATGGGATGGCAGGGAGAATGTTAAACCACGTGCTAAGGTTTCATCCATCCCTTCCCACCAGGCACTAGTCCATCCGTTGACCCTCCTGACAGCCCTGAAGCAGTATGAGAGGGGACGGGGGGACAAGGGTAAACAGCACTGGGCACCAGACCCACAGATCATGGAGGCACTCAACACTGCTTTCTACAACTCATTCAAGGTAGTGGGTCTATACTGACTAACAGGTGTCAGTATGTATGCTTGGGTACTAGTATTTATCAGAAAATTTCAATAGGCCTTAGGCCACACAGTTGTGCAAGCACTACAGAAGGGGCTAATCCACTGGTAGTTTCATATGACAGAGCGATGATTAAGATTGATAGAATAATTCTATGAATGGTTTGGTCTGCAATGATGCAACAATTACATCAGAAATGTGTACCCAGTTTTTAGATCAGTGACTTACCAGGAGATGAGCAAAAAACATTTACTTAGTACTCAAGCAACTGGATATGATTTTGGAAACGGTCAGATGTTTCAGGTAGCTTCCACTACCTTTCTTCAGTGACACCATGAGATGTTTATTATGTTAGTTACTATCGTAGCTTGACAAACTTCTGTAGCCCCATAAGGGAGGGCAAAGCATGTTTTTGGAACATTGTATACTGGCATTTCTTACAACAATCTCACCATCTGTACACCCGCAGAACGTTGAGCCGACCAACAAGCGTATCCTCCTGGCCCTTGACTGCGGCCGTTCCATGGCCTTCAGCGGAGTGAACGGGTCCTCCGGTCTGACGGCCGCCATGGCTGCCGGTACCATGGCGATGTGTGTGGCCAGGACGGAGCCCAGCTGTCACGTGTTCGGCTTTACTGACCAACTGGTGCAGCTGACCATCACCGGAGACATGCGCTTGGACCAGATCTTACAGATAGTCGGAGCTGTGAGTGTTTAGATGTAGTTCATGCTGTATGAGTATATATAAATGTATTTGGCATCTGAAAGTTGGAGAAATTTGTTTATTAAAAGAAAAAATGGTTGGCAACACACAAAACTTGCCAACACACAAGTGTTTTTGGCAAGTACATGTACATGTACATCATAGTTGCTGTCAACATGGGTAGACATTACAAGAAAAAATTTTGAAGGAAGACTGCAATGTAGCCAATGAAAGTAAGAGAAGAAAACTTTTAGCTAGCAATTTGGCAAATATTTCATAACTGCATGTACAATGTAGTTATTAGTGACTTTGACGAATGACTTTGATGCAGGCAGCTCGCAATGCTGAGAAGACCTAATCAAGTACAAGTAAGTAAGCTACTACATGTACAATGTATCTGTATGGTAGAATTGAAGCAGGGATGAATTTTTCTTTTGCACTCTGAGTTTGATCCATTTACCTCTGTTTGTAGACACCAAAGGGAAGAACAGACTGTGTCCTCCCTATCCTGTATGCCAAGGACAACAACATCCCAGTAGACATGTTTCTGTACCTCACTGACAATAAAACTGGCACAGGTAGGTTGTCACCATTCTTTGTTGCTGTAATATTTTCTTCTTGTAGCATCAATGGTAAGAATTAGGATAATAGCTTCTGTATTGGCATTTAAACATGTATGCAAAATTTTCATTTCTTTCAGGAGATATACGCCCGTCTGACGCCCTGAAACAGTACCGAGCTGCCATGAACATAGACGCCAAGCTGTGTGTATGTGCCATGTCAAGCAACAGCTTCTCCCTCGCAGACCCAGAGGATGCTGGGATGCTTGACATTATCGGACTAGACAGCCAAGCGCCGACGGTCATCAGGAATTTTGCCTTGGGGGACATTTAATGACGTCTCATTTAGTCTAGATTCTTAATTGTGGAGAGAAAGGGTTCTGTTTTTCACGAATGGGAAACGTATAATGTGATCACTGCCTTGTTGTTTTGTATAGAAATACAAGAAAATTGTCTTTTTCTCATGTTAAGGAGAACGCAAGAATCGTTGAACTGAAGATGTGCTATTGTGTGTCAATAATTTAAAAATACCAGCTGCAAGGTTTTAATTGTACAGCATTTGGAATTCAGGAGTTTGGATCTAGAAAGTTTATTTCATCCTACAGGACCATATGTGTTACAGTATTTTACAATGAAGCTAAAAGTTGTTACGCAGAATGGCCTTTTGCACGCAGGTGCAGCTTCACAATGTAAAGACAGGATGTTTTAATGGTCTTATGATTGGTCAACTTTTCACGATTGAGGTGTGCCAAATTTTATAGGAATGTCTGAAAGATCAAATCATGTTGCTTTGGCTGTTAATCAGGTACTAGTATAAATGGTCTCATTGCTTGAGTCAACTTGTGTAAAATATTTTAAGGGATTTGACTAGATTTTGAGTTGAAAGTAAATGTTGACCAACTTTTAAAGTGGAAAGTAAAAAGGATGAATGTATTTTAAGAGCTGACAGAAAACTCTTTGTCAAGGAGACGGGGAACAAAGACCTTGGTGTATTTTTTTGGTCTTCTTCACTTCATTTACTTCATTTTAAGTAAATTGAATTGAATGGAAGTGTTCCAAGTGACTAAGCAGTATAATTAATAGTAAGACGTAATTTGGTACTAGAGGTAGCAATATGAGCAATATGTAGCTGTTTGGACTTGATCATGGTAGTGTCAAATTGGAACATTCTGGACAGATTTCAGTACTGTATGCTGCCAGGTTTGAGTTGAATTATGAAAACTGTTTTGTAAGGAACAGTAGATTACCAGCTACAATGCTTTCTGTGTATGTGATGTTATGGTAGAATAATGGGAACATAGTGTTCAAATATTTTTGGTCTGTATGTTGTTTATGGCAATTCAGAATAAGCTGGTTCATGGCTTGAACTGTACATGTGCAAGGTCAAGGGTGAAAGCCCGAACTTGAAAAATAGTTCTTGTCTATAGACTATGCCTTATACAGGTTTTTACATGTTTTGTTTATGTCTCATGGGTCCTGAACTTTGACATATTCTCCACAGTGCATCATGCCCTGAATGCACAGTTGAAAACATGAACCAGCTCATACTGGAGAATACTTCTTGGCATTTTTTGAGCTTTTGTATGAAAGCATACAAAAATTGGTTAGCAACTCAAGTGTCCAATCTGGTGACAAGAAGAAGAAATTTGATAGCAAAGATTCTTGTGCATTTGCAGATGTTGTTTTTGACATCTGTTTTGTGATGTTTCAGACAGTGAGTTGAGTTGTACATGTTTCTACTTGCTTCTTGTAGGAGTCTAAAAGTTACCATAGGTATTGTGGAAATCAATTCTATGTTTTATAGAGAAATGCCTGCAATTTTTAATGAATTATAGTTGATGACAAGATTTCTTTTGTTCTTAGTTTACAAGCCTTAAACCTTTCTCTGGAAATTCTACAACTTATCTGTACCACACTGTGGTAAGATGTATGATAGATATACTGACCATAGGCTGGACTTACAGCTTTAGTATAAAGACTGATACATTGTACTTGGAAGATTACTTTTTAATAGTTACAGCATGGCCAAGTTGTGTGGCTTCAGAAGTGTTCCCTTTACTACAAAGTTATGACTCACTTTTAATTGATTTTAAGACCTATTCTGTATCATCACATGTTTAAAGCTAGCTGCGCTATTCACAAGAGATTAGGCCAGCTGAATTTCTTCAGTGTGTTTTGGGTACTTGTCTTTTACAGGGTGTCTTCAATTGATCATAAGTCTAATGTTAAGTACTAATTGTATTGAATTATTGTGTGGTAGTAATTATGGATTCTTAATGTTAAAGGTGTAAAAGTGTGAAAATGTGATAGCACTTAAATGGAAAGTGGCAGAATGTTGAAAGTGACTTGTATGGATTTTTAAAATGTTGGCAAGTCTGATAATGTTGTAATTAATATTCTGACTTGTGATGGTAACTTGTTTAGATTTGACAAGTGTGTTAAGCATGAACTGAAGTGGTCAAACCCACCTGAAAAAAAAGCTTTTGTTGCACAAGCACATGTACTAGTGGATACTGTGTCTTGGTTTGATATTTTTGCTAAAATAAAGTTTGTAGCACCAACTGCATGCACTCCAGCAATTTTCTTCTTTACATTGTGGTTTCAGAACTATTAATCTATAAACTCACAAAACTTTCTGCAACCTATGATCCACTGCTCACGGAGTCACGTGTGTTATCTGCGTGACATCACGGAAGCGGTGGATTGTTCATTCCTTGACAAAGACTGAAGTTGTACAGTCAAAAATTTAAGTGAGTCCAAGTTCTTGTGTTGGAAATTACAGTTTAAACTTGCTGCATAAAAAGGACAAGTACAATGTTATGGTATTACAGAAAGGTTTTTACTGAGTAAAACACAAACTACATGTACACATCAGACAGTATACTGCTAAAAACTGACATACATATACGGGCAGAAGAAAACATAGTTATATAATGTCCAGAGAAAATTGACAGGGTTAAAACATCATACATGTACAATGAACACTGTCAGTCTCGTACAAAGGAAACATTGGAATCAACATTGTGCATTTTGTTGGAAGCAAGCAAGTACATGTAGTAGGCAACAATGGCATAAAGGTTCCAAGAATGGACTTACATGTAACATTATTAGTTCAGTGACAGTCTGTATACTAGATACGCACATAAAAGTTTCAGATTACAATTACTGGTAGCTGTGTGTTGACTAAACATTCAGTAAAACAGGCTTAGTGTATTAAGTGACGGATGGCAATGTGCATTTGGAGAGTAACTACCAATTCTTCCCCTTCCATCAGATACCCTTCATAACATTAAAACAGGTTTACAGTTTTCCAGTTACGACTACAGAGAAAAATACTAAAACAACTATTTACAACAACCATGTTTGCCCCATCCCTAGCAAGTTAAGAGCAAGCTCATAGAATTTCATACTAAATCTTTTTTGTTGATTTGTCCCAATTCAACAATTTCTCAAAGCTTATAATTCCCTAGTCATTACCAGGCACTACAATAGGCACTGCCATCACAATAGTCCTTAGGTACAAGATAACATATCATATACACATCAACTTGACCTTATGAAAGGATTCTTTTGACAAAGATGCATTTCTAGCAAACGGGCAGCAACAAGCTTAGACTTCATCTGGTCTGTGCTCAGTTCAATAACATTTACACTAGATCCACTTTGGTTTACACTACTATCTTCCTGATGTTTGTTGTTTACAAACACACAGCAGTTACAATGAGAGTGCGACTTGTTGAATGACACTTTTCTTTTTTCAAGCCAGATACTCCAGACTAACACGAAGCCATTGATTTGAAAGACATCTTCAGGAAACAATCTCATTCAGTTGGTAAAGATGCACACTGTACACCCATACAGTCCAGAATACACAATTATACAATGTAGCACCTTTTGTAATTGTCTAAGGATGTGAGGCTAGCCATTCTAACAAGAAGTCTGCAGTGACTGTACTGTCATACAAAATCTCCTCAGACGAGAAAAATATTCACTTCAAAAGTCACTAGACAGGTCTACAAGAAGTATGGAGTGGTTGTCCGGGCAGGTATAACCCTCTCAGAGTCTGGGACAGCGCGGAACAGTTTGGGTTCTCGGTTGTCGACGCTGTTACAGACGAGGATGGAGGCGATGTTTCCGCAGCGGTAGCAGTAGTTGGGGGCGGACCAGACCGTGATGAGCTTGTCGTCAAACATGTACTTGTAACCCTCGTGCACCAGCTGGTGGGCTCGGCAGATCAGCTTCAGGTTGTTTATGTGAACAAACTGTGGGGACAGAGATATGGGGAAATCATGGCATTCCATTGCATTGGTTTCATTTGCAGTCTACTAGACTCATCAGTTTGTTGGGCACCTTTTTTCATTTGGTAGAGGCTAAATAACTTTGATCCTCATTTCACAGAAAAATCTAATCTTAATAGTAGCAAACCTTACTTTCCCTCAATACTTACGAGTTTTTGAGGACACATTAGTTGGCATTTGTAGTTTGACAGAAAAAAATCTTAACTCCTATGAAATGTGAATACAATGGATCTCAAACAAAGCACTGCAGTTGTGGTTCTGTGGTACCACCATATGTCACAAACACTTAATGATGCTAGTACTATGCTAGGAAACACTGACCTCTTGGGTGACCTTTGCCCCAAACAGCCACCCTGCGCCGCGGGGACTGACGGCCCACGTGTCCACGTCTTCTGGGTCTGACCAGACAAGATGTGAGGACTGTTAAGGAACAACTGGGGAAATCTTTTCCTTCTCTCTCAGCACTCAACTCATATGTCCTTAAAAACATGGGTATTACTACATTAAAAGACATGTATTTTTTAACATTAGAGTGATCATCTAAATATACCAGAGATATTTGACATTGAAAACTTGTCAGAGATTCCAAATACACCTACTAGTAACTGGAATTCTTTGCCTGTTGTTCAATTAGTTAGTACATTGTACTTTAATAGTGGAAAACAAAGTTTCTGGCTTGTGAATTTCAAGCAAAGGATATCACAGAAGGCGCCCTTGTGTGGAATCTCCTGGTTTCTCTCGATGGTTCTGACCTGGTCCAGAGTCTTCACATCAGGAGACAGGCCACCGTGGACACACAGCACACACTCATCTATGATCTAACAACAACACAGGACTGGGTTAGGATCTGCTACATGTAGGGCCATGTACACTGATTGTATATGAACATACTTTCTTTTTAAGAAAAAAAGGCAATGTATCCTCATAGTCATACTCTTTACTGTGCCTTATTCAGTTGCCATATTTTTACCTATGCCACAATTTTCCTAAAAAGGGGGTCCTATATACCTATGCCTACATGTACATGTTTACAAAATATGCATAATTGGTATATAACTGGTGGTAAAGACGGTCATAAAATACAAACAACAGATATAAAGACACTGAAGGCTATCCCATGTTGTATTAACAACGCCCATAGGAGCATTAATTATATAAAATTATATGTGAAGAGTAGACAATTATGTGTCTGCATACTGCCATTTAACCCCAGAACAGCCTAACTCCTCAAGTTGGAAAAAATTCAGAAAGTTCAGAAAATGTTTTGTAGTCTAAGACCAACCATTTATTCTTACTGTTTGATAACTATGTGTGCAGGTACATGAACACGATAAGATAAGATAAGAGCATGTCAAACTTTAAAGCTGAGACAGAGACTTACTGCTGCCACTGTGAGCAGGTCAAACACCTTGGTACAGTACCTCCAGGCATTGGCATTACCATACTTAGTCTGGCACTCATCTGAAAAGAAAACCCAAAAACTATGGTTGAAATGCACATATATTAATTAAGTCAAAACATACAGTCAAGACAAAAAATGTAGCCTTGTACCGTGTGACCTATGATATTTTAACCAAACATACCGTAGAACCCGTAGACTTGTGTGATCTGTCTGCTCTCATGGTTTCCCCTCAGCAGAGTGATTCGGTCAGGCCATCTGGGTGGGAGGGGGGCAGGGAGGAAACAACAGGTGGTACTGTCAGTGGCATTGTAAAATAAGGGAAACATTTGCTAACATTACATGTTGTGTAGGTGCCCTAATTGCTATATTACACATGTAGCTGTTATTCTCAACTTTATCCTTAAGAATACAAGAACAGCAAAGTATAGGCGGAATGGACACATATCTTTCAAAAATTCACTTGACAACTACCAAACTGCTGAATAATGTTAGATAAACTGACTTTGCCTTGAGGGTCAGCAGCCATGTGAAGGTCTCCAGACTGTAGTAACCTCTGTCCACAAAATCACCCTGAGAAACAAAACGAGCAAACTTATAAAACATTTACACCACATTTACACTCACAAACAAACAAATTTTCTGTTTGTCCATAATTAAAACCCTGTCATTGAAAAGAAAAGATAACAAATTGCAGCAGTTCCTGTTTAAGTTGATGACAGTTCTCACCATGAAGATGTAGTTTGTGTCCGGGATCTGTCCTCCTGTACGGAACAACTCACCCAGGTCATAGAACTGTTGGATAAGGAACGTATGGTAACATATTTCATACAACTCTGTATATTTCAAAAGATGTACATTATATGAAATAAAAAAAATGGAAGCAGGAATACTGTATCTCCTTGATATATAGTGATACACATACAGTTTTGCTATATATACATATTCATGAGAACAAACAATTTTGCTTCAAAATTGAAATTTGTGTTGATACAACATACACATGAGTTTTTGCTATAACAGTGTACATCTGAATAATTGGCTGACCACTGATACTGACCTGTCCATGTATGTCCCCACATACTGTGACTGGTGTGGATACTGGCTGGACATTAGACTCCTCCAACAGCAACTCACACACATAGTCACACAGTTTCTGTAAAAAAACATTCACAGAAATAAGAAACAGAATTTATGTCATGTCAGTCACAAGTCACACAATTTCTGCAAGACACATAGGAAGTCGGTTTCTACAAATTGCACATACAAAGCCAGATTCTTAACAAAATAAAATTATTCTGTTGTATATGTCACTGTTCCAGTCCCTAATGTCGTTTTATCTGTCCGCTGCATATTTTTTGACGACCGAAATTTTAGAACATAAGTTTCGCCCCCCTCCCCTACTCGAAGTGACTGGACCGAACTTCCTATATTTCTCGAACGCAACGTCACGTATTCACCACAGGAACCTTTCATGCATTAACTAAGTATCATAAAGAGCCATGTTTGTTACCTTTAGGTCATTTTCGGGCAGATATTTGCACTGTTTGGCGATTTCAATCCACACATCTACGTCCAACGTCATTTTTTCGGTCTTCCTCTTACGCGTATGGAATTATGGGATTGCTCATGACCTGATTTTACAGATTTGCGACCTTTTCCCGCCAATCACGGGAAAATGAACCCTATAAATGATTTCTTTCTCACAAGCTGGAAAATTTAGACCATGCATGTGAAAAATATGATCAATCGTATGGCTGACATGGGCAACAGAATCACAAATTTGACGGAAAGAGGATGGGGTGGTGTACTGCAGTACTCATATGAAATGCCAGGTAGCGCGCCTGTACTGTCCATGAATCAAGTAAGGAATTCAAGGAGAATTCTGAGGGAAAGAAGTGGATAAACCGTATCATATCGACACCAAAAATGCTGGGAAAATAACCTAGCTTCGTTTTACCTCCCATACGTCCTGCAGTTGTGAGAAAACATAGCAATAAGGCTGGCTGCTGACTTGCACTGTGAATATAAACCGTTAGGGGGCGCAACTGCACTGCCCATGAGTGACACAGCGCGGGATTCAACATGTCGGACGGAGGCGAGTGGTGCCTGATCGAGAGTGACCCTGGCGTGTTTACCGAGCTCATTAAGGGGTTTGGTGGGTATCAAAATATGCCAAACGTTACTCCAAACTTTAGTGTACTATACTGGGTACAAATTTTGCACATGGCCGGTCATGGTCGGTGAAAATTGAGAGAAGTATGTGTATGAAGTTGGGAGGGGGGCGGACATGGGTTGGTGAGAACGCATACCTTGAAACACGTGTGTTTTTCTGTCAACAACAATCGAACTAGTCCTGACTTTTCCCGTGAAAGAAATCTTACAGGTTCACAGAATGCTTTGATTTATGTCAGGTTACGAAAAATATTCCATCCAAAAATAGACCATCATCATAATTTCATACACATTTCCGAAACTTGGAAGTTGGATAATTTTTCACAAATCTAGGTATTCCAAAAATTATCTATAATACTGATTGAATGTTATTTATTCAAAGTGTAAAAGAGGTATAAGTAGAGCACTAGTATTGTGATGATCAACTTTATTGAACCGACGTATAGATGTTTGAAAATATGGATGGAAACGTTCTAACACTCTGAAGAAAGAAAAGGGATATGAAACAGGAATTTGAATAGTTAACATAATATGATAATGTAAGAGAGACTTCTGTCCCTCTGTCAGTGAGGGGACAGAAGGCATTATCCAACAATTTGGTCTAGCGCAACAGGTCACTTATACTCGATAAATATTTAGGTACAAAGGCATGACACCTGATGAGTCTCCCAAAATAAAATACATATGACTAAATGCTTCCTAGTCCCCTCCAAAGGGTGTCCACCTTGTACAAAAAGCAGGACCACTAACCAGTTTTTAAACATGCCAAGTTCAGATGTGATCGTCTACATGTCAACAGTTAGGAGAATAGAAGTAACTTGAAGATACTTAAAGAATGCCTTTTTGTTATTTTCCAGGTGTGAAGGGACTTCAGGTGGAGGAGATTTGGAGTTTGGATCCTGAGAACTTCGACAAACTCAAGTAAGTCACTTACAGTAGAACACCTTAATGAACAAATGATGTATATCATTTTTCAAAGTTTAAAGTATAATTTTTGATTTTATAATGCTGTATACATTTGTAGTTACTGATGTTTTTTTCCATGTCCCCTCCAGGCCAGTCCATGGGTTGATTTTCCTGTTTAAGTGGCAGCAGGAGGAGGAACCAAGTGGTTCAGTTGTCCAGGACTCCAGACTCGACCACATCTTCTTCGCCAAACAGGTAAGTCTGCAGTACCACCTTTAGGAGACAGGTGGTGCTGATGCAGTTCTTTGAGAACACGGTTTGAGTAAATGCTATGTGTTAGTTTTAAGAAAGTTGTAGCTTTTTCTTCTACAGGAATATCAGGTCCTATAGCTTGAAATGCCAGTCCAATCCTGTAATACAATCTACTGAAGTTAGGGGGAGCTTCTGAATTGATAAGCAGGCCTTTGTACAGTGCAATGTCTTTTGTCACAGACAGTCACTGCATTTGAGACTTCGAAAGGAAACGAACAATACATAGAAAATGCATTCAAATGATTTGAACCTTAGTTTTTATTTGGACCAGCAAGAAGGATATGAATTCATAATCCTAAGTGACAAGAACCTAACTATACTGTTAACAAAGTCATCATTACACTGGTTCAAATAAATTTCCACTATAAAAAATTTTTCTCTAACTTCCCCACCCAGGTGATCAACAATGCCTGTGCGACACAAGCCATCCTGAGTGTTCTGTTGAACTGCAGACATCCTGACATTGAGCTGGGAGAGACACTCGCAAACTTTAAGGAGTTTGTTCAACACTTTGATGCAACTGTAAGTGGTAACTAGGTGCTGTACCAAATGGCTGTATGGTGGCAAAACTCAAGTTGTTGAGTGTATGTTACTTTCTTTCTGAGATTGTATATCAACAATAGAACTTATCACCTTAGTTACCAAATATTCATTCATGTCATAAGATCTTTTTTTTCTCTCAAGTCATTCTCAAGTTGTTTTGTCATCTTGAAGCTTACGTTTGTCACTTCATTATTGTGTCATTCTTTTCAGATGAAGGGTCTGAGTCTGAGTAACTCTGATGTCATCAGGAATGTACACAACAGCTTTGCAAGGTGATAAATTTGATTTTTCTCAGAATTTCACTCTGAAGACAGCAAATAAGTTTAAAAAAAATTAATATTGTGCAAGAGAAAAAAGATTGGTAAGCCACTTTGGAAAAATGTCACTTTTTAGAATATTCATGTCAACATGAAATTTTTTTAATGAAGATCTCTTTTTATTTAAAAGTTTCTAAGGTACAATGGCACGTGCAGAATCCAGTGTTTTTGTAAACCCCAGTGTACCCTCCTCCCTACAGACAGCAGATGTTTGAGTTTGATGTGAAGTCTGCAGGTAAAGACGATGATGTGTATCACTTTGTCGGCTACATCCCTATCGACGGGCGGCTCTACGAACTAGACGGCCTCAAGGACGGGCCAATAGATTTAGGTAAAACCTTTTATTTTAACTACCCTTGGGCATTTTCTATCCTTGCTTATAGCACATGGTTATACTATCTATAGTTATATACCGGTAAACTGTATTTATAGAGATACATCATGACTTAATACATGTATAATAGCATGTTTGAGAAAATACCATTTTTCATCCAACCTTTCTTCAACAACATATTTTGTTTACCGCTTCAGGTGCATGTGATGCCCATGACTGGCTGAACACTGCCAGGCCTGTCATTGAGAAAAGGATCCAAAAGTGAGTAACCGACCTAACTGGAAACAAGACTATTTTGATCTCTTACCGACCCAAGCATGAAGAATCCTGTCTAAAGTGGACTAGGGGACACCCAAGTTGAAGAAGTGTTTTCTTCTATTCCCTTCTGTGATCACTGTAAACACACATGTTGTACATGACATCAAATTGGCAATTGAATATTTTTGACAACACCTCAGGGGTGGAGCCAATTTTGTCTTCTCTCGCAGTTGCTAGAAGTTTTATTTCCCATGATTCCCCCTCAGATACCAGCACGGAGAGATCCACTTTAACCTGATGGCGGTGGTGTCAGACAGGAAGATGACGTACGAGAGACAACTGGCCGACCTCCAGGCACAACTGGCCGCCATACAGGACGTAAGAACCACCTGGATATGTGACGATAGCAATTCTGGGTTTACCAGAATGATGTTATCTTTATATTTGGTCTGGCCCTTGCGTCTTGTCTCGTGACCTCAATTAAAAGCGACCTCAATGAAAAATGTAATTATATGTACCAAACTGTGAAGTACAATTTACAGTTAGTCTTTTAATGTTGAATGTGTTTCTGATTAGATGTTGTTATTCTCCCACCAGGGCAGTGCCATGGAGACTGACCAGTCCGACACCATCCAAACAGAGATCGGCAAGCTGCACATGCTCATTGGAGAGGAGGAGCAGAAGATGAGAAGATACAAAGTAGGAGAAGAGGCACTATTGCAGAGTCTTATTCATGCTGTAAAGCTAAGACCTATGATTGTCATTGATTAGATCATCATAGTAACCAGTAAAATAACAAGTAAGGCCTTCCTTCTACCATAGACCCAATTGCAAAGCCCTGTCCACCTACATCATGTAAAATGTGAAATAAAATCATACGAATGCAAATATTTGATTGACATGTAGCCACTCATTGGTTGAGCCACTAACTGTCATTTTCTTAAACTTCTAATTGTGATGGACAGTCAGGATTGGTCTATTACAAGGTATTCTGACGCAGTAGGCAGCAAACAATGATACCCAGTTTGTAAACCTGTATTGTATTATGTTTTCTTACAGACAGAAAACCTGCGAAGGAAGCACAACTACCTCCCGATGATCATGGAGCTGCTGAAGATCCTGGCACAGGAGGGGAAACTGGTGTCTCTGGTGGAGAAGGTACGGCCAGTCGTTGTGTTTCCACCAAGGCTCACGGAATTTGATTCACGAATAGTTGCATCAGGTTGGCAAGTCACTGAATAAAGAGACTCCTTTTACACAACCAAGAGCGACGTTCCAGTGGCAAAGTTTTTGTGGACCGTGGTCTACTTATTAGTAACCTTACAAAATGATACTTAATTATGAGTACTTAATTTATTTGTTATGCTTTTTTTTTCAGGCAAAAGACAAGACGGCAGAGCTCCAGTCTAAGAAGGATGCAAAGAAAACTCAAGAGGAAAAATCCTAATCCACTGTTTCTACATTTCTGTATATTCTAACTGGGGCTATAACGTTAAGCTGTAATATCATCTGTGCAGAAGTTTGGACAAGTCATATAAAAACCTGGCCTGCACATGCAACTTAGCTTTTGTTTTACTCAAGTTTATATTATTATTATCACCTTTGGGATTGTACCAAAGGATTTGAGAGATTTAAGAAAACTTTGTAAGCAGTGTGCTTTTGGAAGTGATGAACTATAGAGCAGAATGAGCCATATAAAATCAACTCCATGTTCAAAGTTACCTTGCAATAATGTATGAACTCTTCCACTCAGTGAGCTCTCAAAGTAAAAGCCTCTGTTAAAGATGCCACCCTGGCCAGTTTGTATTGCTTTTTCTTGAACTATATAATCTCCCAGAATGATGATATTCAAAGAAAATGTTGTATACATGTAGGTGTTGCAAAGGTAGTTACTAGCTCAATGCATTTTTCTGTTAGCCTGGTTACCAAACCTATTATAGCTCCCAAGTCCTACAGTCTCTCCGCTATTTGCGGGAGCTATAATAGGTTTGGTAACCAGGCTATTTTTCTGTGTGTACGTCTGATATATTCATAACTGTTTTTTTTGGCAAGGTAATGTTGCTACATTGACAAGTACACAATATTTTATATTGTACCTTTCTGGTACCATTCTGCATACATGGGTTCCATGAATACCTTCTATGGTAGTTAGAGTTGCTGTATGCTTTACTCCTTGCAATTTATGCAGTAGGCCTTGCTGTATAAGAATGGCAACAGTAATTGAGATACACACACTGTGTCACACTACGCTTTAAGTTTGCTGGCGTGTACATGGTTCTACTTTTTACTGAAAGACTGAAATTTTGGCACATATCAGAATATGATTAACTTGAAGGTGAAATGGTTCAGGCTTGTTTAGCCTGTGTGGGATATATGGAATTCATTGTACTTCTGCCTTGAATTGAAAAAAGCTTAGCTCTTTTATTGTAGGAATCTTTGAAAAGTTGGTTTCATTTGGGGGGGGGGGGGATTTACTTAACAATGAGAGCAAAAGATTGTCATGTTCATTTCTAGTATTACTTACATCTGATTTTCTTCCTACCATCTTGCAAATAAGATAATGCCTGAAATAAAGATTATAATAACACATTTACGTATGGCCTTTTTGGCAAACCAGACTTACTTGTGAGATGTGATATTTAATAGCAGGACTAGTAGCAAACTAAAGAGTGCTAAGAGTTTGTTTACAACCAAATAAATACTTACCAAAAATAATTGAACAATTTTGCTGTTTTTCATGATGTTTTGGACTAGCTGTAAAAATTGAATATGTTAAAAATTGTAACATCACTATGTAACAAGTTCATGTGAATATTTCAGACAGTGACAACTTTTGTGAAAAAAACTACGTAACAATAGTTTGAAGAATATTCCATAAATCTTTATTGGAAACTATACCATTTAAGATTGATAGCTAAAGATCCTTTCCAGCATTCAACAACACCTTTCAACCAGCCACAATCGCACCTGATATATAAACAATCCTATGCATAAGAAATACACACAACCATTGTAAGTATAAGCACTAGCTCTTGAATAATACTGTACCAGGACAAATCTGGTTTACAATTTCACTGTATGCAGAGTACAACACTTTGGCACTTAATGTCTGCTATGATTGGATCATGATTGTTTGTCTTGGATCAGCCACTTGTACCACAACCAGCATTGGTGGTAAACATCAACAGCACATATCAAACTAAAGTAAACAACAGGTTCTAACTACACATCTGTCATTATTAGGATTACTTAAAATTGAGTCTCAAATACATGAAGTATTCATTACAACAAGGTGTAGATTCCTTTTCGGTCGATCATTGGTCAAATGGCCGATGCATTATTCTTTAAGTCATCTCTAAAAACTTTTATCCATTCACAATTCCTCAAGATTTAAATACCGCCGATTTAAATACTTGAATTAACAACAAATAAGCTAGTCCACTCATAGTTGTAACACAGCATTCTAATGAAACAGTACCCTGGTATATAGCATGTTTTCTAGTTTGTTAAAAGTTTGAAGACAAGAGTACAGATGTGCAGGAGACAGCCCTGAGTTACCAGGTGATCACATGATGGTCACATGATCATCACATGATCACCCTTCGATGGAGGCCTTCCAGTCCTTGATAATCTTCTCAGCCTGTGCAAGAGTGCTGTCCTCCTGAAAGTGCAACAAATAGTAAGCATTAATACTTATTCCCCACATACTTAATGTACATCATGAATTCTTCTAACATAATCCCACATGACCTATTAAAACATTATGCAAAATTTTGCTAAAACAAAAGAATTGCCTGTTTTCATACATTTCCCTACAGTATGAGAAAAGACAAAACATTGCCCATCTGAAATAGTGTGAAGTATGTTACCTTGATGAAACAGAAGCGGATGAATTTCTCAGCCAGTGGCTTGTGGTCAGCAGAGTAGAAGGCACTGTTGGGGATAGTGGCCAGGCCCTGGGTGGAAAAATGACAACAACTTTTTTGAACCCAAAACTATTGTCTTTTCATTTAGCTTGAACTTTTTGGTTTAACTTTGAGAGAGCATCACTCTAGCACAGGCTGACGAGGGTGATCATGATCTGATCCCAGACTACTCACTTTGTTTTTAGTCATCCACTTCACAAACTTGTAGTCATAAGGCTGGTCTGGGTCCTCACTGGACAGGTCCACCTCTGAAAAAAAAAATTTGGAGCTATGTGTGAGCAAAAATGAAATGTATTCCTGGGTATGATGAATTAGTGCTGGTCTGCGAATCTTATTTCGTACCTAATATCATTTATTTTTTTTAAAACACAGGAACAGGTGTGATGCATAAGTTTTTCAGTGTTTTTAGTTTTGTTTCTTCAATCTGGTATTGACCTGCTTTATAGTGAAAATTAGTGATGCTTTACAGCCTTCCGTAATCACCACATCATGGGTCAAACATGGATTTGAGACTGGGATACCATGCTACAAAAGAGTACCATCTAAAACTTGTGACAATCAAACTGACAAATGAGTGCAACTTACTCATGTTGGAGATCTCTGCCAGCATGAAGTAGCCTCCTTCAGGAATCACCGGCTTGAAGCCAACTTCTGTCAAGATCCTGTTCAATAGGAAGGAATAACTTTCTTATTTATCTGATTTAAAAATTATGACTAAACCTTAGTACATGTAGTTACTTAGGTGAAACCTTGGAAAAATTCTGATGAGACACAATGGATGCTCTGCTATTTTTCAGAAGTATATAAACATATACACATGTACACCTTAATTCTCCAACCTGTGAATACTGTAGTAACTGTTACTCGTCTAATATGCACATCTCTGTGTACATGTAACTTGTGATTTTCCTACCTGGCCATGTTGTCCCGTTTTGGTTTGAGTTCCTCAGCCAGAGCCTTGAAGTAGCACTCTTCTGAATTCATCCGGCTGAACTCCAACTCAAAACCTCTGGCCACAGCCTCCTACAAGAAAACAGAAAAATACAAACAGCTTAAACAATTGTGTTTTGTCTTCAGTCCTAAATCATATGTTAACTTATACATGTATATCAAAAGATTCCCATACAGATTTTTAAAATTTTGAGTATGAATGACAAAGAATAAAAGAAATATATGGTCCCTAGTCTTGTGTTAACCTGTATACATGTAGGTACAGTATAGGTGTAGTGCATGTATAGGTGTCGGACAGGTGTAGATACAGTACCTGTATAGGTGTAGGACAGGTGTAGATACAGTACCTGTATAGGTGTAGGACAGGTGTAGGTACGGTACCTGTATAGGTGTAGGACAGGTGTAGATACAGTACCTGTATAGGTGTAGGACAGGTGTAGATACACTACCTGTATAGGTGTAGGACAGGTGTAGATATAGTACCTGTATAGGTGTAGGACAGGTGTAGATACACTACCTGTATAGGTGTAGGACAGGTGTAGATACAGTTCTGGTGCACTGTCTGGAGGTGTTTCAGCAGGTAACTGGGACCGAGGGACCAGCCAAGCTTCCACCCCGTCACACTGAAGGTTTTCCCTGCACTGCCGATGGTGATGGTTCTCTCCCACATGCCTGGTAGGGTAGCTGTGCAAAATATTTAACAAAAATATTGTTGGAGTAAAATTGTAATAGAGGCACATAAATATCATAGATAAAAACGGTATGAAACAATGAGTTGCAAGTGGTTTGCATTAAAGTTAAAATCCTTCCGACACCTTTTGGTGTATAGGACAGTGCCCATCTCCACTTAATTTCTGCAGCCCTTTGGCCCCACAGTTGTGCATGAGAGCAGTGGGCTAGTCCGATGGTACTGCCACACGAGAAATTATTGCATAAAATCTCAAAAGGTATCATAAAACTTGTGAATGACACACTACTAGTGGTGTATGTTTAATTGCGGCCATACTCTTTCTCACAAAAGTCACAAGAGTTCTAAGCAGAAGAAGCAGTATGAACCAATTTTAGTCTTTTGGTATGACCTGGCTGTGGTTTGAATCTAGATCTGTAACTGTCACTCACCCATCCTGACATGTTCAGTGTTGTTGTAGGTCATGTGTTCATACACCTCATCACTGATGCACACCACGTCATGTTTTATACACAAGTCAGCAATCATCTGTAGTTCCTCCCTCCTATAAACCTGTACAGGCATAAAAATGACTTAATCACAGCCTCATTGTACACAAACTTCAAATAAACTGTCTGTACAATCTTCAAAATGTTTACAAACGTACATGGTAGAAAATACATGGAATTCACGTTTTCACGTTTACTATCATGAAAGTTCAACTTGGTAGTTACATATTTAAAGTTAAACTTTTGATCCAACACTAAAAAGTTGTCAGTTGTCAGTTTGTTGTGAAATCTTTTTTGTTCTAAACTTTTTAATGAGTTACCTTGCCCAGTGGGTTGTTTGGAGTGTTGACCACGATGGCTTTAGTCTTGCTGGTGAACTTGGAGGCTAACTCTGCAGGGTCCAGGTAGAAATCAGCACTGGACAGGACGTTGGACCCACTGTCTTTCTGTAACACAAGGTCAATTATTGGAGCATTAAATTGTGAACCACAAGCTGACTTTTTACATGTTTGTACTTCAAATATTAAGAATATTTTAAAGTTAGATTTGGAAATCTTAAAATCCATCTAATTTTCATTTGAATTTAGATCAGAAAAGAAAATTCAACAGTAGCATATTAGCATTCATCATGAATGCTGATATCTATCAAATCTAATGTTATGTTTTAGTTACTTTTACCCATTTTGATTGTGACAGCAAATACAGCTGTACAGCAAAATTTCAAACGTAACATAGTTCAAACGTTCTTGGCAAAAAAATCATCAAGACACATACAAGGCCAAGCTATCATTATCAAACTGTGTTGAACTTAGTTTTTTTTTTTTTTACAAAGATGAGTAATTCCCCCTTACCAGTCTGAGTGGAATGAAGACAGGGGTTCCTCCTGCCATTTTCACCATGGGTTCATAGCAGTCAAAGTACGGCTCTATGATAATCACCTGCAACATGCAAACAGCATACGGTCAGTTTATCAGACTTCAAAACAAAGATAGGAAATATTAATAAAAGCCAGGGCTCAAAATTAACATTGTCCCAGTGTCAAATGACACTAAATTTTCAGCTCGGGACAATTCAAATTACGTTTTGGGACAATTTCGGGGCAACGTGAAAATTCTGAGACCGTCCAAGACATTTAGGAACGTGATCCATCCATCCTGCTGCTGGCTGCCAGCAGCCCATTATTCTCAAATTTATGTTAAAAAAATCAAACATTTAAATTTGACCAATCATTGTAGGGGGCCTCAAAGATGGTGCCATGCCCATGATACATGTACTATCATGTTGTACAAATGCAGTTGTCGTTGTTTTCTTATTGTTGTCATAAACTTATTTCCTGAAAAGCAGGCTGGGACAGTCCATCCTCAGTTCGGGACAATTGAAATCTATGTTTGGGACAATTCTGGGACAATAGTAAAAACGGTTAATTTTGAGGCCTGATAAAAGCCAAAGTGCAAGGATAATGCTCAGTTACAACTTAAGATTTGGAAATGTGTAATAACTATAAGTTACTGAAAAGTATTAATTTTGTGTTGTTCAAAAGTCTTGCAAATATTGCTCTCCAACTCTCATACATGTACATAGATTTGTATCAAAATCTTCCTTTATATAATTACTAGTACCTAACTTCAGACACTTCATTCAAGTAGACTTGAATGATAAAAATAAACAATGAGTTTCACATCAACTTGCCCGGCACCAAATACTCACACTGTATGTTTGGAGACTACAGTGCATGAAGTTGCTTTGAAGTTTCTTTCTTGACTACCTTCATGCTACTGCAATAAACATTGACATACATATAACAGATGTATGACAGTATGATGGACATTACAGAGTACAACACAGTCCTTACCTCATCCCCATGCTCCACCAGTCCCATGATACTACAGAACAGGGACCCGTAGGCTCCCACTGTGATCAGCACCTCTTTAGCCGGGTCCAGCTCTCTCCCCAGGAACTTGTGATACACTTTAGATATGGCTGCAATCAGCCTGGGATGGCCCTACAGGATAAATACATGGAACAGATTATGCACACATAAACAAAGTAAAACATACAAGTGCTTGATGTAGCAACATAATAATCTTTGTTCATATCCAATGTCTACAACTTACACAAATGTATACTTAAGAAACATTAGATAGAAGAACAACTTCATTTTTTGGGGGGGGGGATTGCCGTTACAAATCGGGTGGCACCCAGGCTAACACATAACATTATGATAATCAGAATCATTACTCACAAAGCCCCTTGTGTACTGGTTTGTCAGAGGTCCTGAGTTCTGGGCAGCGTCTACCAGTCCTTTGGTAACATAGTCAGGAGGGAAAAAATCGGGAAAGCCCTGCAAGAAAAAAGAATGCATGTATCATTTTCATCCACAACTTTGTTTTCCACATCACAGTAGTTTACAAATAAAAACAAACATCACAATGATGCAAACATTGAACAAATGAAAGACATTTACAGAGATCTCCAAAATAAGTTTTTTGCCTCTTTTATTTTTTTCACCCACATTTTTCTTGTCTAACTACATGTAAGTTAAGAGCAAGTGTCTGTTACCAGACAGGTAATATCCTTTCCGATAATGAACAGAACATTGTATTTTCTCACCTGCCCCAGGTTTACAGCTTTGGTGTCCAACACTAGCTGTACAAACTCCACCCTGCAAAGAAACAACAAACATAAATGTACACTCCATTGTTACACCATGTACTAAAGTAAGAAAAGCAGCTAGATACTGGCAGCTTGCAATTTACTCAACTGCTATGTAACAAATCGTGTCAACTTACCAGACATTCTTGTCGATGCCATCCAACCTTTTGGGAGGGTTGGCAAACTTTTGGGAAGACATCCTTCTTTGCAAGTCAATCTGTAGATAAAGAACAATAAACCACATCAAGTCCAACTTAAGACTGCTAGAAGGATTCAAATACCTAGAAAATAATTGCTCTATCTTTGCTAATTGCTAACATACTGATTTTGCTCAGTTTCCTCTTCTCAGAACACAAAAGGTCAATGACCGGAACCAGACGTCTATCATCATGGTAACTGGTGTTGGGTTACATCATGTTGCAATTTTTTCACAGGAGGGATTTAGACTCCTTTTACCATATGTATGAATGTGTTTGAGTAAGAATTAACAAAGTAGTTGCAAATTTAAATATTATGCTCTTGCTTTGCAAATGTTATCTTTCTAGTTTACTTTGTCTTAACTAAATTTTAGGAAGCCTACATGTTCTAATGTCAAAAAAGAACTTGGTGAAGACATTAAACACGTACCTGAGATGATAGCGTCCTAGTTTCGAGCAGTGAAACACAACCACAGGCAGGTTTTGTCAGTTTTCCCACAAATCTCAGGGCACTGACCAATGGGAGCATACCTGTCAAGGGTCAAAGGTTAAGAATCAGGAGGGCGGCACCTCTGTGAAGATGAGGCATTCCTGATAACACAGGAAAGAGAAGAGAGACAAACATGTATGTGAAAGAGGAGGATTCATTACTAGTAAGATTCTGCAAAATTCATTTACATGTACATCTACTTCTATTTTCATATTTCTTCTCACTCTATGCTCATTGATTACAAAATCATTCCGTTACATTCTCTCATTACTTTTGTTGCGGATGTTGAGCAAGATTTTTTTTGCAATGTGCCGATTGTACGCTTTTGAAGGGATACCAACATATTTCAAAGAATTTGTATGATTATTAACTCTACACTAATAGTAATACTTATGAGGTTAAAAATGAACAATAGTCCATACGAAAAAAATGAAGAGCTTCACCCTGACAAACCATGCATCCAAAAAAAAGGTACACATGTATTAGCATCTGCCACAAGCAAGCAAAAAAGAAGATCAGAAAACCCGAGTTTCAAACCATGTTAGTCCAAGGAGAAATCCACAACATCAAGTAGATCAACCAGTAAGTATGCTATCATTAGTCATCAGCTACATCAAGTCAAAATCAAAATGTGGGGACTACAATCAACAGCAGAAAATGGGTGCAAAGCTGCAACAACAGTGCCATCCCCACCATTCTAAATACTAGTACTCCAGACATGCAAACACCCATCCGGTATTCGGACATACCTATAGACGACAGACACACCACCAAGCTGGAAGCTAGAGAAACAACATCAAAGGCAGGACATCATAGTGATACGGACATTACTTCTTGTCGGACAAACTATGCAACAGCTGTGACAATGAGGACAAGGCATTGATGCTTTATTATCTAAGGGCTGTTCCATTTCAAAAGTTGAAGCGAGTAGGTTCCAAATTTTTCAATATGAAAATGGGGACAGAAATTTTACAAGAGGAAAGGAGTGTTTGAATTGAAATGACAGAGGGGGCTCACAGGTGAAAGAAGCAAAGTTTCTGATCACCCCTCCTCAACTCATGAAATGGAATAGCCCTGAGTAGCTTTTGTTTTTTTAGTCAGCTGAGCACTTGCATTTGGTATTGCAACTTGATAAGCCATTGCAGAATAGGTGAAATAGACCTTATTCTAGATATGGTTGCTATTTTGATTTTATTCCCATAAGAGAGCATTTTAGCAACTTTTTCTTCAGTCTTTCTCAATACATGCTGAGTTTGTTTAGTTTAGACACAGCTCTGAAAGCACGCCAGTTAATAAGTGACATTCACTTCCTGCATATGCATATGTAATCCATACTGCTTTGAGGCAGAAGCTTGGCAGTTTTAGTTTTTTCATAACAGTTTGATCCACTACACTGAAAATCAGCAAAAACCAGAACGGCAGGCCATTTACTGTAATAAATTTTACTTAAAAGCCACGCCCCCTTCCTTGGAAAATAATTTAGGTCAAAAGTCACCAGATGTTCACTCATGTTGTTGTTGTTTTTTCATCTCTTCCTTTTCATAGATTTGATTGAGGTACCAGAACTAGGAGGCATGAACGACTTGCTACGACAATGATAAATACATAAATGAATATCGAAGTCGGAGTAGCTCAGTTTCTTACAAAAAGCTGCTAGCCGGCCGGCAAACATTTTTTGTCGCCCCCCTCCCAAAAAATTCCACTTACTGTTTCTTGATTCTCAAGTCTTTAGAACGACATTTAGCCACTTGAAGCGAAACCACAAGGTGCACTGGAAGTTTATGATGAATGCCATTGCAGCTGATACATATATACTTACGATTCAAGGCAAAATTTTAGGAGAAAATCAGGATGATGCAGTTGTTGCACGTCAGTCCGCGAGGGTCGTATGTGGGTCAAGGGGTAAAGGTCGTGAGTCTTGTGGTGCATGCTGGGATGCTGATGCAGCGATGCATGCTGGGATCGCGACAAGTGCGTCACCCCAGGGGACGCGAAACTTGATCCATCAGCAAAATAGCGTGCAAACAAAGCGCACAATGCCCGGGGTTCGCTTACAAACACAAGAAAACCCTCCGCGGGACGTTTGAAAGCAGAGAGAGTGGAGAATCGCCCACTCTTTGTCTATATATTCAAAAATAAACAAAGGTTCGTGAGAGTGGCTTGTCCCGATGGCCTGGCCAGGTCAGTACCTGGGAGGTACAATGCGATTCGCACTTTCTTTTTACAACGTGTAAGAGCACAAGCGGCCACAAACCGCGGACATTTGCTGAATGCATCATTGGTTTTTACAAAACACCTGTGCCAGGTATATCGTGGTCTTGGCCTGCTAGCAGGCGTCACGTGATCAAAACAAAGCACGTCCGTTAGTTAAACGGTGGCAGTTCCTTTGTCACGACGTAGTAACTGAACACCTCATAAGTTAGCGTCCTTGTGGTTCGTGCGTTTACGTTGCTAAGACGACCAGAAGCCTGGGCTTGTAATTAAAATGGAACCTTGGATTCCTATTGTGGGGGTGGACAGACTTTGTGTTTAATATTACTAGTAAAATTTTTAAAACCTTAAGCTGCACAGTTTCCACTGACACTATCAATAGCAATAAAAAGATTCATATGAATCATAGCTGAATGAGGATGAGGAAATTCTGTTGCCAATTTAATGCTCTAAAGGCACTTAGACAAAAATCTGTACAGCAGCGTTCCCCCTTCCTTTCCAAGATGGTACGCCCCAGTCTCAATGTCGCAGGTCACATAGCTGCGCGTCCCTACCTCTGGGTCTTTTGTGTTCGCGCATAGCTATTTCTGTTGGAATAGCGTCCCCCACCCCAGTTGCAGCTTGGAGCTTTACCGCACCGCACCGCAGCGAGTCTCTTCACCACCCAGCGCACCTCACGTCCAGCACGGGGAATTTCATTGCGTATCGCAGATCGCCGTCAACTGTACCAGCCATGCCTAAGAGAGCCCGTTCCGCTTCTGGGAGCCGCAAGCCAGCGGCAAAGAAGGCCAAGCCGGCAGGTTAGTATTTGCAGCGTTGCAGACAGCGGTTCTTAGCTGGGGGGTAAGCGGTCCTGGTTTGCGGTGGTCAGGTGAAGGTCTCCGACGGCTGCCTGGTACCTGGCGGCGTCCGAACCTTCCCAGCTGGCGGGCGTCCAGCAGCCTGTCCACCTGTCCTGTCTCCGCAGCTGCATACGTGCTAAGATTATAAATTCGGAGAGTGGGGTGTTTTTATGGACAGGTTCCTGTTTTTGCCCTTGTGTTGTGATTTCTCGTGAGCTCGAGGTAAATTACGCATCCCCGGCGCGGCGCTCTAGTAGCTAGATGGATGACGCTATTTTGCAGGTTAGGGGTGTTCGTGTCGCATCTCAGTTTGGCATTCATCCTCAAATTCATTGCGCAAACTCCTTGACGTACTTTCGTACTTTTTAGCTTTTAGTACAGCTTATGCAAAGGAAAGCGTTTGCAGCCTTGTCAAAGTCTAATCTCAAACCCCTGGCAACGAATCGTCTCTTTTTTTAACTTTCTAGAAAAACAAAAGATCTGATGGACAGAAAACTGTTCATTTCATCCTCCTAACTGGTCACCTACTCAGAGTACCACGTAGACAGGTCACAATGATTCTAAAAAGCAAGTTTAATTGTTCTGTTTGAAGTTTTTCGTAATTTTTGGTCAGAGATACGGGTTTCTCAAAAATCTTTTGTCTTTGGACGCGCGTCAGAGACAAACGCGTAGTTTCAAGATGAAACACCTCAGTCCTAGGACGATTGTGGATAGTCAGTTTTCGGTACGTTGTGTGAGGAAGAAGAATTTGTTTAAGATAAGCCAGGATAGCTCTCCCGTTTGTCACCTGACGATAGTTTATTTGGAAAGTCCTCCCTAAGCGTCCATGACCCATCTACCGTGCTACAAGGGCTTGCTTTGCGGCGGGGTCGAGTAACATCTCCATTATCTACGTTATCTCTTTTGACACGCATCAATCGGTTGACTTAGCCGCCCTCCAACCTTAAGCGCCCATACAGTCTGTTGGAAAAAAAGGATTACATGGCGGCCCTAAGCCTTAACTAAACACTGGAGCTCGGACGTAATGTCTGCAAACTTTTTGCCATTGCAAAAAATACTTTCAAGTAGGAGATCTAATTCATAAGGTTAGCATCAGGAGATGAATTTTAAACAAGGGAATTTCAATGTGCATGTCCTGTACCGCTTGAAAACTTTGATTTACTTTGTTTTCCTTTCTTGTTCGCTTTAAAATCTAATTTTGACTATTTTCTCCGTGTGTTCTACAGCCAAGAGGAAAGCGCCCGCCGCCGCAGCCGCCGCCGCCCCGCCTGCCAAGAAAGCAAGTGAGTACACCACGTCCTTACTGAGGGCAAGGGATGGGTTTTCAGATATGATAACTTCCTGGTTAACTGACCTATCGGTCGAAAGAAGCCAAAAAATGTCTCAAAGCTTGCTGTTTTGTGTGTGCAATCTTCACTATCTTACAAAATATGTATCTGGTAAACGTAATGAACAATCGAAAGGTTCTATGTCTGTTAGATAGTCAGGAGAGCCAGCGATGCGCTCGCAGATTCTAGTTGTACGCCGGCCTCATAGGCCCCGTTGTCAAGCAGGTTCAAACATCAACACCGGTGGAAAATTCCCAGGCTAACTTTGTTGTGGTATCATATATCTCGTGATGACGTGTATGCCAGCCAATCAGAAAGCGCTTAACTTGTAAACTGCCAATCACATGACTACTTTTATATACAAACGGTAGCCAACAGTTGACGCGTTTTCTTGTGTTTAGGATGTCGATGACTAACAACCACTTGTTTGCATTGGAGTTGTGCCAGAATTTGGAATTCTGGGTAAAATGGGCGGAGTTATTCAAATGAAAGCCTTGTGAATACATCTAGCTTTTGTTGAAGTTCTTGACCTTCCTGAGTTGCCATTCTGTCACAAGTCTCTCCCCCTTGAGGTATTAGGTTTCCAATGAGCAACCCATTGAATAAAGGCAGCGCGAGTATTTTGTTCACTGATTAAAGAATGCTTCCCTCATTATTTCAAGGGCCCGCCAAGGCAAAGAAGGCACCCCGCAAGAAGGCCGCCAAGCCCAGGGCCAAGCCTGCGAAGAAGTCCTTCAAGAAGAAGGCTGGTGGAAGGAAGAAGTGAAGAATGGATCCTTAAAGATTCGGACTCTGTCCAGCTTTGTGTCTGCGACAGATTTTGTTTGACTGTGTGATGACAACGACTCTCCACAAATACTAGTAGATGTATATTAGACAGTGTTTTGAAGATGTACTTTTCTCTATTCCTCTTAAATGTCTTCACGGCAACTGGTTGCCACGACCAAATATACAGAGATGTATTTCAAAGTTATCGGTATTTTTCTGTACTGTGGAATGTATACTGAGGCAACTCAGAAAAAAGGACCAATTTGCTCCGATGGAGTAAACGACTTGTTTGATATGTGGAAAGAGAGGAGGAGGATGTAGGGCAGGTAGAGGAAGTGAATCTGAGGTGTGTAAAACACGAAGAGTCAAATGTGTGAGAAGGTATGAAGGACAAGGAAAGGAACCATAGATGAACGCTCTTTGTCATCTAGTATCAATAGAAAGTCTAGATCTATTCCCTCTGTGTGCTATTATTGTGTTTATTTATTGTTTGGAAAATCTCTCTATCAGTGCCCTACCATTGTACTACCCGTGTCTTTCAAAAGGAAGATATTTCGTAGACTTCTCTGTAGACCATGTCAACTTTTGTAAAATAAAATCAAAACGTAGTTTTACTACACATAAGCTTCTGTGTTGGTTTGTATCTTGATGCTAAAACGACCACCCGGACCGTGCATGTTGTCCAGTTATGTAAAGTGTTCTGTATGTAGCCCCTCTTGCCCCCTATTGTGAACTGCACCATCAATCCAACATCAGCGTATTTACAAAGTATCTGTCCTACGGTAGGAACAAAAACATATCCAGCCTCCCTTCAAAAGACGTACATGCTTTGGTTGCTGCGCGCTTTTCAATTACCTCAGGCATTCTCTAATATGTCCAACGACCCTCTAACAAACATGCGCAAAATGTTACCTACGCGTCTGATTGGTCAATACTAAAACATTACCTTAAACGTGATTGGCTGTCATCGCTGCTCGGTTTACTTATTGGTCAGATGATATTGACAGTGGTGACCCAGTTGCTAGGACACGGCCATGGCGTTGTTTGAAAGTGTTGTCATGCAAACTGAACGCACCTGTTGTCTTTGAACGCGCGGTGCACGCTGGGTACGTCTCAGGTAGCGTCCTTTTTGTTGACACAAGTTACAAAGGATGGGAGATATCGTTACACACGCAATTCAACGACTCAAGGACGGGATCGTGTGGGAACGTACGGTGATTTCGTGAGAGGGCGGCTGGCCTAGCCTATACCAGGCACCGCGGATCGCTGGAAAAATAGTAGAAATTGGCCGAAATAAAGTTGTAGTATACCAGAGAAGATCCCGGGCCAAGATCCGTGGGTCGAGAATTGGATCTTCTATGGCCCGGGATCTTCTCTGGTATACTATCCCTGTATTGATTCGGCAATTTCTACTATTTTTCCAACGATCCGCGGTGCCTGGTAGAGGCTACGGTTGGCCATAGACAAACGCCCAATAGGCAACACATCAATACAACTAGTCATGGAAAATTTGAATAACACCTTCAAAAAGGGAATACCTTAATGGTTATGCTACTCTTGACAAAGTGGTTTGCGGGTCACGATCAGTGTACTTTGGTTTACAGGTGTACTTTGCTTTGCTTGGTTTGATGACGCTAGTTGGTATATGTTGAGACTTTGCAATAGAGTATGAGTCGAAGGCATGGGCATTAATGTTAACATTAGCCGACGGCTTAAACCCAATCTACACATAAGATATTTTCAACGAGTCTCCTTTGCTTGAAGTATAAGTAAACTTATTCACGCATCTTCCATTAGATGTGGAACACATCATGGTGAATTCAGACATATCCCGAAGGCTTTCCCAGTAACCAGTGTCCCGGTATATGGGTCAGACCTTGAAAATATTACTCTGTAATAACCTTATAACGACTGAGAATGCTTAATTCACTTTTTGGTAGATAAAGTACAGTTTATATCACAATTACTGTGACAGTAACGTATAGCTCCTTGCTTTAGCCGAAAGACACTGCTCAGAAAATTGTTGGTCGTTGTTTACGGGCAGGTGATAGACCTTAGAAGAAACCAACTGTAATTGGAGGGGTCATACCTGCGGTTTTTCATGCCTCCTCACTACTCGTGGCATTTGAAATGAAGGGGGGGGGAGGTATTACACATTACATGGACACCCGGGTTATTTGTTCCCTACGTTATGGAGGCACAGAAAACGGTCAAGTCTCACAGGTGGTTCACTTAAAATTCACAAGTTTTCACACTTCTGCGTCAACGTCCACCTGCAAAATGGACTGGTCCATCCACAAACATGCATGGTCACTCACACAAAATAAGACGCAGAGAACAACGTTTCTATTTTAACACCATGATGATCTTTCATGATCAGTTATCCGCTACAATGACATCACAAAAACTGACAGTTTTTCTTTCATAAAGCCACTATTTCAAGAGGAATGTCATAGTCTATATGATCTACATTGTACGAGGCCATGCACCGTATTACTAATGATGCAAATGTACACAAAGCATCAGAGTCAGACGGCAGAATCCGTCTTCATTGAACCCTTCACCATTACACCCTTATAAGTATACAGGCGTTTGCCACTTATCGCTTGAAACGCAAGAAAGAAGAGAAAACAGAAATACAGTGCCATAAGTAGAAGTTACCGGGTATGAAGGTATGAAGGAGGCAGTAGCCTATATTTTGCTCACTAGCTCCCTAGTCGATGCTCCCTATGTTTCTATCGCTACAAGATATGGACCATTAGATGAGCCCAGCCGTGCCCACGGTGATCTTGAGAAACATGGTGTCGTCCCGGACGTAGGCGCGACCGCTGTTGTACACCTGCTCCAGCGGTACGAAGTCGGGGGTCCCGCAGGGCAGGTTCTCCTCGCCGCCGGGACGTGCGAAGGACGGGCTGGTCGGGTAGGCACCGGCGTGGAACGAGTCCGTCACGTCCTCTTGGCGCTCCTGATCGAGAAGGGCGAAGGTCACCTGAGGATGAAGAGAAGGAAGAACTTTTGTCATGTTGTTAGAGGCTTCGCGTATCGTAAGACAGGGACACTAAGTCTAGTCTACAGTGTATTTTTGGATCATGGATCATATGCATTTTTACAGGGCAAAGCTGGCGGCTAGATATCAAAGTGTCGTAATATGCACAGGAGTGGATCTTGAGATGCAAAAATAAGCCATATGCCTCATGAACAATACACTCTGAGAAACAACAAAGCAGTCGTCCATGAAAACAATCTTAAACAGTGGCGAAGCCTCATTATGTCAGGTGCCTAATGCTCAGCACTACATGGCTCGTTGGCAGCCTCTGACGGCCAGTTCCAAATCTGCAACAACATCGCGCCGTTTCGGGCGCGAGGGGGCGCTCCTGTACGGTGAACTTCACCATTCTCAATTGGCTGTCGTTCCTGAACATGGTCGATAGGCGGCGCTTTCACTAACACCTGCAAAAGGCAATCTGTCAATGGTACCTGTACACAATGCTGCGTGGTGATACTAGTACTTACCTTCTGACGGAATGGCCAGGGCAGAATTGCGTCGTATTCTCCCTTCATCATGACGAAGAACACACTGATGTGTGTGTCCTCGCCTCTGCCGTACCCGTTCAGGTACACCTGGGCGCGCATCTTGTATCCCGTACGGCTGGTGAAGAAGTAGACGGAATCGATGGCTGTGATCTTGCCAATTATCGCATCGTGGCGCTTTTGTGCCATGCCCGAAATCTTCCACAGAAGCTCCCCGTTGTAGCTCGTGTCTTCCAGGATTTTGAGACGGATAGCTTGTTGAGCGAGCCGGGCGTCTTGCTCAGCAATCTTCATCTCCAGCGCTTGGATGAGGCTCTGCAGACCGGCGATCCGTGCTTTATTGTTGATTTCTTCTTCCATCCACTCCACTTCGTGGTTGAGGCGCTCCACTTCGTCAAAAGCGCTCCAAACAGCCTGCTCGGCAAGATCCATCCGGGTCTCCATGTCAGCTGTTCCGCCCATGAGGATTTCCTTGATGATCCTCTCTATGCCGTCAATCTGGGGCCTCAGACCAGCGATGCCAGATTCTGGAACAAATTGTTAAGGAGAAAATTGCCTCCAATTACTCCATTCATCGCGTAGCCCGAGGCGTAATGTGGAGCTTGAAAACCCCTGACAACAAGTCCGAGATCTAGGTTAAGCTGGGACGAATACCCCTTCAAGCCTATGTTAGCCAAGCGCAATTGAGTGAATTTGAAAGTATTAGCCGCGCTTAACAGATGAAAATGAGTATACAAAGATCTGTAGTAGCTAGTTTTGATTAGAAGTGCTAAGTGTCTAAGAGTTTTGCAAAATATTTTAGGTACAAATGTAGAATACAATGAATACAATGGATTGATATGAAACATAAGTAGACAGTGTGACGCAACAATAAGTTTGTAAATACCTCTGGCCTCCAAGGCGCCCACCCTATCGGAGAGTTGCTGTACCGCCAACAGAAGTTCCCCTATCCAGTCTCCCAACAGGTCAGCGCCGTTACCTTCTGCTCTCCTGCCCGCCCTCTCCCTACCGAACCTTTCCATAGTCTTGACGTTCCCTGTGAACAACAAGAAGGAAGCCTGGCTAAATATAGCTACCTGCCGATCTGATTGATGACTTGGAGTTCGCCCGCCAGCCCTAGGCCTACCCAGGGTATCAGGTACCCCTGGGCCTTGAGCTACGGCGGGTCCTGGCTCTCTTTCTGTCGCTTGACTGGTTTTCTCTTTTCTCCCACCGTGTTTCTCCGCATTCCCCAGAATGCCCAACCCGGTTTTACCCTGCCGACGTCACCGTCAGCTTCGCTTGCCTTTGTCTTTTTGCCTGAGCTGAAGCTAAGTGGCTAAGTCTGTATCAGTCGATGGTGGGAACCTTAACGTGAGGCCAAAAACAGAGTAACAGAGCAGTGGAATAACAGAATTACACCGACGCGTGCTGTTGACGTTGAAGAGATAAGGTGTAGGGCCAAATGCCATTACATGCCTGACATATTATCCCACACAAACGGCAACACAAGGAACAAAAGCAAACATAAGCGACCGCCGGTGTGGAGAGTACGACATGTACGTATGTGCTAGTAGTTGGTGCGACATTCTTTGTGCACACTCATTAAGGAGACTTGGTCAGTGTTTTCAGAAACATTTATATTTCTCTAAGCGACGTAGACAAACTATATGTGCTATCAGAGTGAATACGAAGTCTCTGATTTCAAAGTTGCTGTTTATTCGAAATAAGCCAGCCATGCCCTCCATTGAGCCCCAAGGCATGAGTTGTTTCCACCACGCCTTCCCCATGACTGCATTTTCACACTCCGCCACACGGAAAATGCAGTCATGGGGAAGTGGTCCTTGATTGACACAGTGAACGATACACACATACACAATGGCATATGGTTGGATGCACGCGAGAACTCACACACTCTTTCACGTTCAAAGAACTTTGTTCGCCTGTCCGTACCCTGTGAGCTTGAGGTTGGAGTAAGGCAAGCGCGCGGTTGATTGATGCCTCCAGAGCAGTACCCATGTGCAAGAAAACCCCGTCAAATTGGCATGAATCATATGACCACTCCATAAACGAGCGACTCAGCCTACAAAATTTCAAGGGTCCTTTTAGATAGTCTTGTATCCATTCCCAGTATATAACTACCTTGTCTCGTTTGGTCTGGTAGCAATTGACAAATAGTAGGAGTGGATAACAACGTTGTATAGATTCACGAACACTAGTAGTGTACGCGATGAACTGATTTTAGAATGTTGCTCATCGACAAAGTTAACTAATGTTCAGATCTTGACATTCAAATCACAGGGACATGTTGTTGCTTCATTTCTTTTTTCGTCCTGCATGTAAGTGAAACGCAATCGAGAATAGTGGAGTGGAGAAGGAGAGACAGGGAAAGAAAGTACGTTCAGTTATCAAGTGATGAATTACGACAGTAAAGACTTTCAACACTCATTCAACAAGAGATCTGAGATCACATACCTCCATGAAATATGGGCTTGACGTGTAAATGTAAATTTCCTCTTTAATTATGCAAATGACCTCCACATTAACATAATTAATGTATCGTGATGTTAACTTTTGATGAATTTACAATTTACACCAAGTAGGAAATTCCCATCATTTACCCATTGAATTTTCGCATTAATTATGCAAATGAGGTCATAATTTTCATTATTGGTATCTGTTGATGTTCCATCTGCCAAAGATTACATACATTACATGTATTAAAGTACTACAATGTAAAACACTGTAATTAGAGAATTTCCTCATTTATTATGCAAATAAAGTCCTCATTTGCATAATTTGCATTAAGTTATGTACATCTCTCTCAGCTACCTACCTACCAAAAATGATGAAAATACATTGTTCCTGTCTGGACCTATTGGCTTTTAAAGATTTTCCCCCGAAAGTCCCCTGCAGTTTCAGAACAAGCTGCTAGGGGGACCAAACCCACACCAATTATTCCTGGCAGGACAATCTATCTGTCACCCAAAAATCAAGACCATAACATGTTCAGGACAAAAGATACAAAAACCGGAAGTTCTGCTGCAGTACCAAAGTCATCCACCAGGAGGCCCATATTTGACCTTGACCTTTGGCTTCCTAAGACCTACCAGCATACCAAATATCATCACAACCCATAAAGGCGTTATGGAGTTATGCTGACTACAAATATGCGGAAACTCAAACACACGCACACACATAGACGCGCCAAAAACAATACCTCCATTTTCATGGAGGTAACTAGATCTCAGTGCCAAAATTACGTCAACACTGGGTGTCCATCCACCCTAACACTCAAATTTTCCACATCATAGCGCACAGAGGTCGCCTTATTCCCTGAGGAAGAACCTCTCATTAATCAAACCAGGTCGCAAGCCCGGGGCAGCCTCGACACAATCAGACATCTGTTACCCTGTCTGGCAGACTCCTCATTAAACCGGAAGTGCTGCTGCAGTACCAAGGCCATCCACCAGGAGGCCCATATTTGACCTTGACCTTCGCCCCCTTAACACCTACCAGGATACCAAATATCACCACAATCCATAAATGCGTTATGGAGTTATGAAGGTACAAAAAAGCGGAAACACAAACACACATACACACACACACACACACACACACACACACATACACACACACACACACACACACACACACACACGCACACAGACGCGCCAAAAACAATACCTTCCATTTCATGGAGGTAATAAAGTTGTAATGACTGGTAACATGACAAGGAAACCCTACCGCAATATGCAGCAAATCCTGTAGAAAATTGTGTCCAAGTCTTGAATTGCAGGAGATGATCACGGTAACTTCAGCAGACTGAAATAAACTGTATAGGTCTCTCTGACTGTCTATGGGACGGGAACCGACGAATCATTGTTCATTTGCACGCAATATCCCGCACGTAATGATTGGCAGGTCCCCTCTGTTTACAATGTTGGCCCTTTGTTAGCGCGTGACCCGGCGGACTGTTGGGTCCAATCATGTGAAAGACCCAACTGACATTCCTACGTGAGGTAAATTAATACCTATACTGCTCGACCTGTCGTTCAGGACCAGATGGAGATTGAGTGATTTCACACATGATTAGGCGTTAAAAGCCGTCGTTAGCGCCTGATACAGTGTTTAAGAGGGCTGACATCTGCCCGTGGCGACCTGTTATGCTTCGGTCCCAATTGAAAAAAGGGGCCCTGCCGGGTAGTCCCCGGGCTTTTATTTTTTTGCACTTTCGGGCGTGACCCGTACGTGGCCCCCCGGGACACCCTGCGGCTACTTGGCTACCGGGCTATTTTTGGGCCCGGCGGGGGCCCGAGAAGAATTTAATATTCTGACTTAAATTCTACCCGGGCCCCGCTGACAAAAAGACGCCGTGACCTCATCGTGAGAACATCGAGAGGTACCCCTCCGGTTGCCGACAGTCCACCGGGACACATTTGTTACGTCACAGACCAGATGAACAGAATAAAGGTGTATACTTCGTAAAATGTGTGGCGTCACAGATCAAATGATCACAACAAAAGCGTGAATTCTGCATTACGTATAGGTCAGTACAAGCACATCGTCAGAGAATCTTCCGGGTACCTGCCGAGTGCCTGCCGGAGACCGACCATATTAACATGGTTACGTTTACCGCGGGGAATCCCCTTCAGTATTTGTAACATGGTTACGTTTACCATTGCTCCTCCCCCACGCCCGATGAAAAAAGCCAAAACGTTAACACGCCAAAATGAGCCAAAACCCAAACCTCTACTTGGAAGTATACCTAGGCCTGTGGCTGTGCACTTATAAATGTGCTTTCGGTATTTGACATTGTTCGGAAGTCTTGACTACTATACCTAATCTCCAAGGAGATGCTAGGGTGGCAAAAACAAAGTATCAAATTGGCTAGGCTGTATCCATTGCCCAAAAAGGGTCCAATTCGCCACCCAAAGTGGGGGTTAGCGACAAAAAAAAAACGGGCATGATCAGCGGGACAGGCTGAGCGGTCCCTGAATTCCTCACTAAAACTAGAGGCGGTCAGGTCCATGGAAATGTTGCAGAGTTTTCCTCGTGTGCCGACGCCACTTTTCCCGCGAGTTCCGCACTAGTCGCCAGGTGCTGCGGGATTCGTTCGGTACATATACCCCTGCGTCCCACTGCAGTCGGGGAGTCTGGTAATAACTTGCTAACATATATATATACAATCTTTAGACCCTGCATTATTCCACTTCTAGAGAATTTTTGAACTTAAGTCTAACTTACCGTACGCTAGAGCCGTTTTTCTCCTGCCGAGTGTAGATACACAGTCTATTGACTGTTTAAGGTACACGTGCAATGGTTCACCTCCGCTGGTCTACCGCACTGTACAGTGCGGTGTGCCAAGGTTTCCGTGACGCTCGTACAGCGTCACAAAGGATGCACCAATGACAGTATCAAATCCCGCGCGCTTTGTACTCTGTTCGGGCATTAAGTGCACGGCCACATTTCGAAGCCGGGGCCCTGCTGGGTTGTTTGCGTGAACGAAAAATAAACAATTTGTCTGAAGAGTATACACAAATAGTGCTCATGGGTAATTTTCTAAAAGGTTTTTTTTGTGTTTTGCTGTCTTATACACATGTAATAATTTTCCTTCCATACGACTGCCCGACCGGGCCCCGGGTTGGGAAATGTGACCGCGCCTTGAAGTAAAAGATGGGGCTCCACCCTTAAGATTCCAGGTGGCGCATGCATTTTACGTCATTTAACTCTTCCAACATAGAGACTGCGGAGATGTCAGGACGGCCGGGGGCTGCCGGACAGGTGTTCTAAATTTTGAAGCCTCGGGGGCTGCGGCAGGCGCGTGCATGGCCGCCTGTGGCACGAAGGGACAGGTGGACGGATTGCTGCTGCCGGAGGCAGGTCGGGGCCTCGTCTCTTCCCTGTGCTGGTTGAGCCTGTTTTTTGGCACTACCGAACGTGACCTGGGCGGAGACCGGAGGGCTTCCCGACGGCTGCCAGCCTATTTTTGGTCCCGCGCGGTCGCCGAATTGATTTTAACTCAAACTTAAAATCGATATCA